CTGAGTCTCAACCCAACCAGACCCTGCTCCCAACCCCGAAACCCGCCTACGATTCGGAGCCGGAAGCAAGGGAGGAAGTGTGCACAACAGAACGGGAAGGACTAGGAATGGAAGGCGCCAGAGCTGAAGCGGCCCTCACCCCCTAATCTGCCAACAACCAAAACAGGGCATCCGGGGCCGCAACCAACCAAGAGTGTTACAGCGACCCAAACCTAGCATGCAACGTCGCAGCCGCCTGCACCCGCTTATCATGACCAGTGGTCTGGGTAAACAAGAGCACGTACAGACAACACCCATCGCACGACTCCGGGTCATAAGAAACAACAATCCAACAGGCAGCATGGTGGAGGCACAACCGGCAAATGTCACCCTGAGACAAGGGGACCGATCAATTGACAAACTCGCAAGACACAAGGGGGGACTCACGGGTCACATCCATAGGACCATGGAGCCCCCATGGGGTTTTCCAGGGCGCTTAGCCTTGATAACATGCTAAGAGAAGCCCAGGCAGGGTACTGCGAACCGCGCCCAAGTCTACTAAACAACCTTCTAAAAGCTAAACCCCCGGGACGTGTCCACTCACAAGGGCCAAGCGGGGAGGACCACCAACAGAAATATCTATATAAAACTTCAAGAACAGCAAAAGGGGGGCCACAAAGGCAGACCCCACCCCCTCCCACCAGGCAAAAACAAAAGAAAACCCCTCGCAAGAGGACAACGTACCCAGGTGGAACAGACGGCCACTGTTATCGGTGAAAACTAGTTGTGCAGCACCCCGTGCCCCTACCAGTGACGAAAACTACCTCCTACCCAGAGACAAAACAAGGGCAACAAAACCCCAGCCGACTCCAAGGGTGGCCCAGTACCGAGCAGTAAAGGACACAGCGGAGGTAGAACCCAAGGTGACTTGTGGAAGGTGGCCCTAAGGGCAGTACTTACAAGGCACCTAGGGAAGAGAGCCCTAGGCGCATGCAGCCAGAGTACCATGGAATCTCAATCCTGGCTCACATCCCACCGGTAGAGACAGTCCACACCACAAGGCACAGTACTGAAACAAAAACCAGAGCCAAAGGCACTCGACCGGCCAGTAAATCCATCAGCCAAGAACTGCCAGTTGGATCGCCAGCGCGGATGGTCTGGGGCTCCCCCTTCCCCCTCCCAGGAAGGGGGGGAGGTTGCGCAGATGGTGGCGCGACGATGTGATGACGTCATACTAGTTTGATAATTTTGTTTGGCAAGTTCTGTCCACTTGTTCAGCTTTCAGTAGCAATATTTTCACCAGAATAGGGGTTTGTTTTGGGGCGCCTACCTTTCAGGGTGCCTGTCTCGGTCGATGGCAGACAGAATGATTCCAACCACAGGGGGGTTTCTATAGGCCATTGCTCCTCGTGCCTCTCTAGAGGGGGCCAGGTTCTGGTTCGTGGTCCCTGGTAGGCAAGAACTCCAAGCATTTTAACTGATGCCAGAAAGTTACACATATCCATTCAGTCTGGGTAGCTCCGGGGAGCTGACGGGGCTCCCCCAGAAATGTTCATTAGTGTTTCCTGAGCACGGAAAAATAAAAAAAAATCGTAGGCGACATTTTGGCCTCAATAAGCTGAGGAAGTCTGACAAAAAGAAGCGTTGACAAAGCGTCGGAATGAGGTCTGCTCCACCCGAGGTATCAGGCAGAGTTGCCACAAACATATTACTGTAACCATGCGATTATCCGGGATTCGAACATCCGGAAAACTCCCTTATATGGCCAAAATCGTGACCGGATAAAGTTCTCTATATCCGGCCAAAATGGCCATGGGAGCCGGATAAAAGCTGGTTTAGCTGGATAAACAATTGGAGCCGATTAACTTGCTGCCGATGTTACACTATCCGGACAGTCAGCCTGATAATCATTGAATTGTCTGGATACGAAAGCCATGGGGCGGGCCGTACTGTATTAATCCCGTCTGCCTGTGGCTCGAGACGCATGGTGGAGGAGGGGGTGGGGTGGGTGGGTGGTGTCGGGAGGGTGGGAGGGGAGCATCGGGAGGGACCACCTGGGTACAGGAATTACCATTAATTTTAGAACAATTCATCATAGCCAAAAACAAATGAAATAAGTACTAGTAATTATGTAATAAAAATATATAAGTTTCCTAAAAACAATGTGCACAGGCTGAAGTTTCCTTAAAAATATTGTGTTTTTTCCTCCTACGTAGGCCGTCAGGAGGTAAACTATAGCTGCCCCAAGTGGAACCGTCCAACACTGGTCAACCCATGTGCTCCCATCCCTCGTGTTATAACACAGTGCTGTGCCATTAGTGAAATATTTTTTTAAATAACTTTTTTATTTTCATAGTAACTTTGAACATTTTTCGCCAAGACTATATCTGGTAGCAGCATCAATCGTTCTGGAGGTGTTAAGAGGAAGAAGGTTGTCCTAACAATTAAAAACAAGTTACGTGTTATACACCTCAACCAGTGAGGCGTCACAGGCAAGCCAAATGCCTTCAACAAGTGAGATGCCACAGGCAAGCCAAGCGCCTTAAACAAGTGAGGTGCAAGCAAGCGCCTTTAACAAGTGCAGCATCACAGGCAAGCTAAATGCCTTCAACAAGTGAGGCTTCACAGGCAAGCCAAGCACCTTCAAGTGAGGTGCAAGCAAGCGCCTTCAAGTGAGGTGCAAGCAAGCGCCTTCAAGTGAGGCGCAAGCAAGCGCCTTCAACAAGTAAGACCTCACAGGCAACCCAAATGCCTTCAACCAGTGAGGCTTCAGCAGCTGGCAGTCAAAACTAACTTTCCTTAATGAACTGTACAGTAATTTTAAGTGTTAATTTTAGTGTTGTGTTAGTATAGGTTACGTAAATTGTTAAGAATTCTTAACTTCAAGATGTGTGGCATCAATGAAGAAGATGAACACCAAGGTAAGTTGAGGTTTCTAGTTGTATATTTAATCATTATATGTGGCAAGGCAATTCAAATTATGTTGTTTGTAATATAAAAATAGTTGAAAATGGTTAGTTTTGGACTCGTAGGTGAAAAAGTACCATTATCCGGAAAACGTGATAATCCGGTTGGGGGTCCTTCCCATATAGTCTGGATGATCGAGTGGAGACAGTATTACCTAATTATTTCAATGTCTCTGATTTTTTTTTTAGTTTTTTTGCAGTAATATTATTCAATAGTGTGTAGTGTGATATATTTATATAATACAATGTGTGAACCATCGCTATACTCAAAATTATGGTGTGCATATTAGTGATTCAATTATTATGTTCATAAACAAACAGTTTTGCTGTTAAGTATTACAGAATATACATAAGTATCTGCATGTTTTGGTCACCATAATGAACCACTAAGTTGGTATGGCGAGTCAAAACACCAACAAGTGGGCTGCTTCACCGAGCCAGCAAACACCGCCACCTTCCCTCAACACCTCACTCGCCAACATATTCCTCTTCCCACCATACTTTTTGCTTTTACAGATATTTACTATATACAGACATTATGTATATAGGTGTATCAACATGTTTTTTTCACCATAACTGTACAACTAAGCTGGTATGGTGCCCAAACAGCATAGTGGCCACTCTACACAGCATAACAAGTCATGCAGATGACATGACTTCCCTCACTAAAATGCCCCCTTCCAACATAGTCCTTTTGCCGTCATTACACTAATATATATAACGTGTAAGTATCTACATTTGTCTTCACCATAGTAAACCACTAAGCTGGTATGGTGAGTGCAGACAACAGGTGGCCACACAGATTCAGCAGACAAAGCTACCTCCCTCTCTCCTTCAACATCACTCCTCTCACACACACACACGAGCGTAGCTCTCATCCTGTAACTACACTTAGGTAAATACAGTGCTAATTCTCAAAACAGTCCTTCTATTATCACAATCCTGGTCATTTTTATCAGTCAGGGGATCTTCCGTAATACTGTCATTGCTAAATAACAGCAGTTACATATTTATTTTGACATTTTTGGCGACGCTGGTCACAAGCTGAACAGCGGTGCTGTTAGCTCATGCTGCATGCGCCAGCCTTGGTTGCTCACACAGTACTGTGGCTCTAACACCGGAGAATGTTGCCCACGATTTTTTTTAAACATGGGGTCTGTTTACAAGAGCCCTGAGGAAGCTGATGTGATCCCAATGTAGCCGTGGGCCATTTGAATCCTGGACGGCACCCTGTCGTATATGTATGCCATGTGCATGGTGGGACACGTTATTCCTGTTGTATATATATGCTATGCGCAGTTTAAGGGTTAAAGGGAGGACAAAATGTTCAAAAACACAATCTCAGGTATTAGCAAGATCCTGCCCCAGAGGGCATGTCTACAGTCAAAATCACCTAAAAAAAAAAAAAAAAAAGTTCGGGCTTCAGTGTTAAATCTAAAAGGTTCTAAACCCCTAAATCAGGATATCAAAATATTTTGCCTATGTAAGTAAAACAAACAAATCGTGGAACATGCAAGGGAAATAGTGTGTATTCGAGTACGAGTATGACACTGGTTCACCAATAGTGAGAAGGGCATAATGTGCCATTGCAACACAGAGGGAAAGCATCGCATAAGGGGGCCAGATTCACGAAGCAATTACGCAAGTACTTGCCAATGTGTACATCTTTCCTCACTCTTTGATGGCTTTGGTTACATTTATTAAACAGTTTACAAGCATGAAAACTTTCCAGTCAACTGTTGTTATTGTTATAAACAACCTCCTGGTGCTTTGCAGCTCATAACTGTTTAATAATTGTAAACAAAGCTACCAAAGATTGAGAAAAGATGTACAGGTTCATAAGTGCTTGAGTAACTTCCTTGTGAATCTGGCCCCAGGTGAGGAGTCGGTCACCGCCAGGGAGGTGAGATGTACTAGTATATGCCATACAAATGGTAGGGGTAGGGTGAGGATCAGAAGGGTAAGCCAAGGACAGATATAGTCAGTTTAAATACTTGGACTTGTGTCAGAGGAATCTATGCATTTTCTAGTAATTATTGAACTATGAATGCTTACCTTAAGCAATTTGCACTCCCGGGAATCTTGGAATGCTGGATACATTTCTTCATATTTCTCCACTGCAATCTTAGCATTAGTTAAATCAATGCACAAATGACACAGCGCAGCTCGGAACATGTATTCCTTAGCACTGTATTTGAGTAAAGAGCTTTCAAGGGAACTTGTTGCCACCTGAAAAATATAAAAAATCATAGACTTCTCAGAAATGTTTGCAGCATACAACAATCATACAAACTTTATCATCATATTTTATTAGCATTTATACGAGAGTATTGTACTAAATTATTACGGGTATATTTGTTATTAATTTTGATGCAAAATTTGACAAATATTGACATCATTTTGACACTATTATAAGTTAATAGATACACCTAAATTTCATTTGAATCACAAACATTAAAATAAATTTATTTGAACAAACCTTTTCATAAATTTGGATGGCCTTTTCATAATTTTCCATCTGTGCTGCAAACATCGCTACCTTCAGGAGACACTTATTTGCTGATGAATTGTTTTCCTCACCACGGAAGTAATCAGAAGCCTGTTCATAGTGCTGGATGGCTTTTTCTATATCTGCAACCTGTAAGTAGCATAAACTTAATGATTGAAAATCACTGATTGTACATATATCTACACATGTACACAGCCTCACTAAATACAGTGGCACCTCAATTAACGAGCGGCTCTATCTACGAGCATTTCGAGTAACGAGCAAGCCACTCGCAGCAAATTTGTCTCTATTGACGAGCTTCACCTCTATTAACGAGCAAAACCAAATGGGGCTTCCTAGCGTCTCGCGGGTTCTCGCAAATTCTCGGGGGCCTGCAACACCAGTGTTGTTGTTGTATTGCACATGACAAGCATCCCTCTGCATTTATTTAAGCTTTTCTTTGTTTTTTTGTGGTTTTGTGACTAAAATTTGTAACGCACAATATCGCCAAAGAAGCTGCTTGCTAAAGATAGTGTTGTCAAGAGGAAGACACACAATTACTGTGGATTTGAAGAAGGAAATTATAGCAAAGCACAAGCATGGTGTCTGTGTGATTGCTCTCACAAGGACGTATGGCAGGTCCTCATCAACAATTTGCACCATTAGTAAGGAGATGAGGAGGTAAGGGAGGATGCTGCCTCTTCCAGTGAAATCAGGGAAGTGTTGGGAATGTTTGAAACGGTGACCTCATTCTTGGGAAAAGCTACCCTGATAAAGCAATGACAACCCGGTGTGTGAATATGACAATTTGCTGTCTCGTTTTAGGAACATCCTAAAACAAAGACAAAAGCAATTATCAATAGATATGTTCTTTGCAAAAGTAGAGAAAAAAAGAGCAAGTGATAGTGAACCACAACCCAGTCCCAGTGGGGTGAAATTCCCAAGAAGAGAGAGCCTGCCTGACTCAGAGGTGGATTCTCCTTCCACACCATAACCCCTCTCCTCCTTCCCACCTCCCCATCGTCTCCCTCAAGCCAGTAATGACTTCATAAGGTGAAGTAAACATAAAAACAGTAAAACAAAACATTTATTATTACATGTGCAGTATTATATTTACATTATAAAATGTCTTACAAGTATGGATGTTTTTGGGAGTGGAACGGATTAAATTTATTTCCTTTATTTTAAATGGGGAAATTTGTTTCTTAAGACGAGTTTTCCACATAACGAGCTCGGTGCCAGAATGGATTAAACTCGTTAATTGAGGTGCCACTGTACACAAGAGTATACTGTATAATGAATTGCCACAGTATATTGATTCTTAACCACTGCATTGCTCTGGCTCCAAATATGGCACACCCCTGGTGCGCAGGAAATTAATTGTTCTGAAAATAATTTTTCTTTTCAAAATGTTAAACACACTCCCCTGAACACATACATGTAGAAATAAAATTGAAACTGTACTTACTTTGGCCACAATGGGGTCCCGTAAATGGCATGTGACGTCACAATTTGGTGGTCACCCGTGGCGTAGACTCCCGGAGGCAGTCGTGCGCCAATGTCAACATGTGCGAGTTGCCACAAATCATTTTTTCTTCTTTTTTTTCGTACATTTCCAAATGCATTTATATTGTTTTTTCTTGCCAATCCTATGTATAGTGAACACGTGCACAATATTCTGGCAGTAGACTATCAGTACTGTCCCAAGACACTGTGTTACGTGCATCACAAATGTGTCCACATACATTGTTCATATTTCCAATGTTTCATGTTCATTTATGTATATTTATAAAATATTTACACACTGTACACCATCACACACTATATACATTCATCATCAACACACTCAGAACTCCGCGAGTGTATGATATTCTGCGAAGCAGTCGACGGGGCATAGTGAAACTTTGCACTCAACGCACCAAGTGGAGATGCATCTTCGCTTGCGTTCTCTATGTTGAGTGTTTTTGCATACAACACAGGCACGTTTACCCCTTGACCTCGCCTCTGTCCCTCCACCGCACTGATAACATCTTGTCACACTTTCGCAGCTGGCAATCACCCACTGCAATACCTATGCCAAACACTGGCATTTTCCTCCTGTGGACCTTCACAGTGCCACATACGTCGGTGTTGTGGTCAAGGAGGTATCTGGTGAACAAGGGGCTGGTATAGTAGTTGTCTGTGAACAGTATATGCACCTTGTTCAGCAACAGTTCCATGAGGGTTTTGACAACACTGCCGGAGAACATGTGTGGATCTTTAACTGTTATGTCAACGTCTGTACCTGAATATCATGTCCATGACGATACCAGTTTCGCAGTCGCACAGCATGAAAAACATAAGTCCAAACCGGTGCCGCTTCGATGGGATGTACTGCTTGAATGCAAGTTGTCCCTTGAAGAGAACTAGCTATTCATCAATCACCACATCCTGTCCTGGTACAAAATAGTCACGGAACTTGCCTCTCTCATATCACTAAAAATCTTCCGCACCTTCCAAAGTCTGTCCTGTCTTCATTTTCATTGTTCTCAAAGTGCAGGCGCCTGAGAAGCAACAGGAACTTATCACGTGACATGTACCTGTTGAACACGGGGGGGTGGGGGGGTGGGGGGGTGGAACAAGGCTGTCTTTGCTCCAATAATCCCGGAGGACATGTTTCTCAGAATGTTTCATCATCATGCTCAATGCTAGAAACATGTACATTTCCTCATTTCTTCGTTTATTGTGTCCTTCCATCGTGTCATGCGAGGCAGGTAAAATGCTGGTGTCTATGGGGCTGTGAGCATATCTGTTCATCTCTGTTACAAGATGGTTCATGAAATTCATTATCAAAATAAGCCAAGAAATAGTCGATTTAAGCCATATCTTCACCTGTATAGGGAAATAATGGTGTCACACCAACATCGGTATCATCAAAAGTTATGTTGTGGGACAAATCTCTCACAATCCTCCCACACACGTACACCCGGGGGTTTCGTTTTGGCACCAACACCACCACGAGCACCAAAAACACAGCTCCATCGTCTTGTGCTAGAGCTGCGTATAGTTATGCCAGGAGATGAGGCTGTTCTGCGTAGTGTAGGCCTACCACGAACATCTGATATCGAGGGAACACTGTTGTCATTGTCCTCTGGCCGTACGAAACGCTGCCACTTGCCTCGACGTGTTGCTGGGGCCGCAAAACCCCGCCTAGTAATACCCTCGCTGCTTGTACTCGGGTCGTCAACAACTTGTATCAGAGCCTATGTCACTGAAGCCCAAGAATGATTCATAACATGTACTGTCACTGAATAAACTTGCATCAGAGGACACACACATGGTGGTGGTGACTCTAGTGGTGTTGACCCAGGGCGGCGAGGCGCATGTACACACACTCGACATCCTCCACCTCATTTTCTCCCTCACTCATGTCAGACCTCTGAGTAAGGTCTTTCGCTGGATCATAGTCTAAATTATCATCCATGGCACCATCATCATACAATATGTCGTGTATTTCCTCCTCAGAGTCATTTTCCATGACCGTGGCTGACCGTGGAGCAGGAGCTCGTAGACGATGAGTCAGACATTTTTTACTTCCTTGAAACTGTGGCTCCCCACGGCATCCTTAGTGATATTTACCGCATTTTGAATATCCCGCACATTTAAATGTGCTACATAACCTTCCCGACTTGGTGCTTTCTTTAAATAACTACTTACTACTGAGACACCTTAAAAATGTTAAATATTCCCTTAAGCATAGGCGGGAGATGCATAATAATATACAACTTGGAAATACTAGGACTGGACTGGTTTCTATCTAAACATCTGCAAACAGAAATAACACCACACGAGACCAGTAGGCATTGCAGGGTGTGTAAAACAGCCCCATTGAAAGCATAGATGTAATACACACACATACAGAACTCTATCAACATCAAAGTGCAAAGACTTTTCAACACACTCCCTCTACACATATGGGAAGAAACTGGCTAAACTCTCGAACTGTTAAAAAATAAAAGCTTGATAAGCACCTTCAAAAGGATACCCGATTCAACCAACCTGTGAACAAGCCAACCAAAAGGCCTGGCCAGAGAATAGGCCGTGGGGACGTTGATCCTCGGTATCATCGATAGGTACAGTATATAGGCATATTCACATAACTCGATGTTTAACAATACAATATACAGGGGGTCATATGCACATTTGTCATTTTCTATAATATTCTAATCTATATTCAGGAAAGAAAATGCACTTGTTGCTCATTGCTGACATTCAAAAGCTTACCTCAGTTTCATATATATCTGCAATTGACTGATGGTGTTTGGCAGCCATTGTAAACTTTCCCATGTCCGTGTAAATTTCAATGGCCTTCAACAAACTGTTGACAGATTCTGAGGAAACAAAGTAAATTTTAATACATTATGAGAAACAAGAAGTAAAATCAATTTGCAAGTTATCATGCTACTTCATTTTAAGACGTGTTATTAAAAAGGTATATATAATGAGATACAGTACTGTATATGAATTTTGGAAAGAATATCAAAGGATAAAATAAACCCAGTATATAAAATGCCCTTACAAAAAAAAAAAAAAAAAATTCTGGAATTCTGGTACATAAGAGATCATCACACAAAACCAGCGTCAAATGTAATGAAATGGTTATTTCCGGACGAGTCCCAGGGGCTCCCTGAAGCTATCTCACGGAGATGGCTACCAGCTACCAGGTCACATCAGCAACAGAGTTGTCTCTAGCCATAACAGCCATAATCTGGGCTTCCTTTACAGACGCTCAGCAGTCACTTCAGTACCCCCACCGGGAAAGCATCCAGAAAGTCGGATAACCAAGACATACTGGGTTGAAATAGATTGAAACCTCAAAACTGTTTTGGGAGTTCATTTCACAATGTAAACAAATGATTGTATCCCAAAATCAGCAGGAGCTCGTTAGCACTAACCCCCCCCCCACTGCCAGTGGTGGAGCGGAGGGCCATAGCTCCCAGCCTACCCCAGCCCTCCAATAACATTTTGGAGCAGCTGTGAAGATACACACCCACCAACAAACCTGGATGGGAGGGATGGAATCAGGAAGTCCCAGTGGCTCATCCAGATGAAGGCATTTCATTGCATTCAACTCTGGTTTTCTGGGGGTGCCCTTTGTGGCTCCCTGAAGCAAACTACTCTTGGAGAATGAAAATCAGGGACTCGCGCAGGAAGGAAAGATTGCAGGTAAACAAGACAATGAAGAGATGGCTGGTCAAGAGAGACTACCCAAGGCAACAGAGGCATGACAAGGCCCGGGGACACAAACTAAATACTGGGCTCCCAAGATCCTGTTAGACCACCAAAACCATAGTGCTCAAATATAAGCTCAGGACACATTAGCAAGGAATGCTGTGAGAGAAGCATATTTACAAACATCATGGGTATGAGGTTGACTACAGGTTGGCTGCACTAAATGACAATGCAAATGACCAGAGAAACATGCACCTTAGATCAGGGAAGTGTAACAGTCACAATAAAGATAATGAACCTGCTCCCCATTTTCTTATTATATCTACTGTAACTAATTAAAGGTTCCCAATAATCCCCATAACTGTTATAACACTAGCAATCATATTCACTAATCATTATTGACATCTATAACAAATTCCCAAAGTTTCCTTAATCACTAAGGACAGCCAAAAGTAACCAGCACACTCTCCATTAGACCAAATGATGATCAGCCTGCCAAGTGAGGAGGAAACTGGGTCTAAAACAAGGTTAGGTGAATGCAGACATAAGACAGCTGGGAAGACAGCATCGCATGTCTAGTTCCAACCTCCACACCAGATGCTACAAGACTCGCTACGAGAAGCAAACAGCCACTCCCAACCTATTCGATCACGCCACTCTCACCTTCATCCAAGCTCCCTGCTGTCACCCCTCATTTGAGCTCTCCACCCTTTGCCAACCCCTCTCAGGCTCTCGGCTTCATTTGAGCTCCAGGCCTTGCACAAGATCTCTGCTTCTGGCCACCTTCAGCATTACACCTTCACCTTCATACATACATCCTACACCTGACTCAGCCAGCAACACACAACAAGCTTCCTTGTCTCACCCTACTATGACACAGTTGTACCATTTCTATCATCCAACTGCTGTAACCAACTATATTAACCTCTGGAAGGCGCTGCTAATAATAGCCAACAACACAGCTATGCGTGTAGTGTTTCCTTAGTTTTCCTTCTCTACACTAAGGAAACAAACATAGGAATGTGCCTGAATGCCAACAGTGACTGCCCGGACAGGTACAAGAGGAGTGTTGTTAACGCTTATGTCGACCGTGCCCTCAGCCACAGCTCAGAATGGAAGCAAGTCGACGAAGAACTCTGTAGGGTAAGGCAGGTCCTAGTTAACAACGGCTTCTCCAATGGTTTCGTGGAAGACATCATAAGAAGGAAAGTGAAATGCCATGCAACCTTTGAAGAGACAACTAACACAACACCTATACCCCCTATTAGACTATTTTACAGGAACTTCTTTTCCACAGCCCATAAAACAGAGGAAAGGGTCCTGAAAGATATTGTCAGTAGAAACGTTATCCCTACAGACAAAAATCAGAAGATACAACTGACAATTTACTATAAAGCCAAAAAAACGGCCAGCCTACTCATGAGAAACTCTCCAGACACAAAGCAGAACCTTTTAAAAGAGACCAACGTCGTCTATGCCTTCAAATACCCTCTTGGGGATTGTAAGCCTCAAAAAACTCAGTATATAGGCAAGACAACATCTCTTTCCAGGCGTTTAACGATGCATAAGCAACAGAGCTCCATTAAGGAACATATAGCCTCTTCCCACAACCAAACCATCGCCAGAGAAATCCTAGTAAACAACACAGAAATCATCGATAGATACAGCGATAGCAGGCGGCTTGACGTTTGCGAGGCACTACACATCAAGAAGTCAACACCAGCAATCAACAGCCAATTAATGCACAACTACATTCTACCCACCTCAAGACTCCGCTCCAATATAGAAGCATCAAGAAATATGGACCAATAGGCTTTCTACAAACACTTCTATTCAATACCCATTGTTTCTGTTCTGTCTTGTGTTGATACTTTTAATACCCTATTAATATCCCCTCTTGTTCTGTCTTGTGTTAATGCCACATCACCCCTCCCACCTCACTCAAATATAGATATAAAATCAGAGATACGTCTGTTGTGTATTTGTGAAGTCTTTGAAAATGTAATAAGTTTTACGAAACGCGCCCGTGTCGCGTCAGACTAGAAATAAAAATGAATTTTGGAGAAGTGATTTTTGATTTACCTCCAACAGTGAAGCGTAATGTACGAAAGATTGAGAAAATTCGTGTTAGAATTATTAATCTTACTTTTTCGGTCATATTTAATAATAAATATATATATATATATATATATATATATATATATATATATATATATATATATATATATATATATATATAAATATATATATAATATATATATATATATATATATATATATATATATATATATATATATATATATATATATATATATATATATATATATATATATATATATTTTGGTAGCAGTCTTTCCTGTAGACATATTTTATTAAATATGACCGAAAAAGTAAGATTAATAATTCTAACACGAATTTTCTCAATCTTTCGTACATTATGCTTCACTGTTGGAGGTAAATCAAAAATCACTTCTCCAAAATTCATTTTTATTTCTAGTCTGACGCGACACGGGCGCGTTTCGTAAAACTTATTACATTTTCAAAGACTTCACAAATACACAACTGATTAGAACTTGCGTTTCCCTGATTTTATATCTACATTTGAGTGAGGTGGGAAGGGTGATGTGGCATTACATTTGAGTAAGGTGGGAAGGATGATGTGGCATTAGAGGATATTAATAGGGTATTAAAAGTATCAACACAAGACAGAACACGAAACAATGGATATTGAATAGAAGTGTTTGTAGAAAGCCTATTGGTCCATATTTCTTGATGCTTCTATATTGGAGCGGAGTCTTGAGGTGGGTAGAATATAGTTGTGCAATAATTGGCTGTTGATTGCTGGTGTTGACTTCTTGATGTGTAGTGCCTCGCAAACGTCGAGCCGCCTGCTATCGCTGTATCTATCGATGATTTCTGTGTTGTTTACTAGGATTTCTCTGGCGATGGTTTGGTTATGGGAAGAGATTATATGTTCCTTAATGGAGCCCTGTTGTTTATGCATCGTTAAACGCCTAGAAAGAGATGTTGTTGTCTTGCCTATATACTGGGTTTTTTGGAGCTTACAGTCCCCAAGTGGGCATTTGAAGGCATAGACGACGTTAGTCTCTTTTAAAGCGTTCTGTTTCGTGTCTGGAGAGTTTCTCATGAGTAGGCTGGCCGTTTTTCTGGTTTTATAGTAAATCGTCAGTTGTATCCTCTGATTTTTGTCTGTAGGGATAACGTTTCTATTAACAATATCTTTCAGGACCCTTTCCTCTGTTTTATGAGCTGTGGAAAAGAAGTTCCTGTAAAATAGTCTAATAGGGGGTATAGGTGTTGTGTTAGTTGTCTCTTCGGAGGTTGCATGGCTTTTCACTTTCCTTCTTATGATGTCTTCGATGAAACCATTGGAGAAGCCGTTATTGACTAGAACCTGCCTTACCCTACAGAGTTCTTCGTCGACTTGCTTCCATTCTGAGCTGTGGCTGAGAGCACGGTCGACGTATGCGTTAACAACACTCCTCTTGTACCTGTCAGGGCAGTCGCTGTTGGCATTTAGGCACATTCCTATGTTTGTTTCCTTTGTGTAGACTGCAGTGTGGAAACCTCCGCCCTTTTCCATGACTGTTACATCTAGAAAAGGCAGCTTCCCATCCTTTTCCGTCTCGTAAGTGAAACGCAGCACGGAACTCTGCTCAAATGCCTCCTTCAGCTCCTGCAGATGTCTGACATCAGGTACCTGTGTAAAAATGTCGTCAACATACCTGCAGTATATGGCCGGTTTCAAGTTCATGTCGACTAAGACTTTTTGCTCGATGGTACCCATGTAGAAGTTTGCAAACAGGACACCTAGGGGAGAACCCATAGCGACCCCATCTACTTGCTTATACATGTGCCCATCCGGGCTCAAGAAGGGTGCCTCTTTAGTACAAGCTTGGAGTAGTTTCCTCAGAATACTTTCTGGCATGTCAAGAGGAGTACAGGCTGGATCACGATACACTCTGTCGGCTATCATTCCGATTGTCTCGTCCACAGGTACGTTGGTAAACAGCGATTCTACGTCCAACGAGGCTCTTATCCCTGTGGCCCGTGCGCCCCGCAGTAAGTCCACAAATTCCTTTGGAGACTTCAGGCTGAAGGCGCAAGGAACATAAGGAGTCAGCAGGCCGTTGAGTCGCTTCGCCAATCTGTACGTGGGTGTGGGTATCTGGCTAATGATTGGCCGAAGTGGGTTTCCAGGCTTGTGCGTCTTGACATTTCCATACGCATATCCAGGTTTATATTCCCCAATGATCTTTGGCAGGTGGAGTCCGGATTTCTTGGCGTTCACAGTTTCGATCAGTTTGTTGACCTTTGCTTTTAATTCGGCTGTAGTGTCCTTCGTTACCCTTTGGAACTTAGTTTGGTCAGAGAGTATGATGTTCATTTTCGCCAGATATTCGTCTTTTTTAAGAATGACATATATTGGCGACTTGTCACCTCTCCTGACAACTATCTCCTTGTTCTCACGAAGGCTTTTAGCTGCCGCTCTAAGCTCGGGGGACAGTATGGTGCTTCTGTAGTTGCCTCGATTCTTTCCTCCTTCTGCAATAAGTTCTGCTTGTAAGGTATCTTTGGTAGTGACCTTCTTTTGTGTCTCGAGGTCGAATATGTCGTCCAACAGAATTTCCAACTCCACTTTCCGGGCCATTTCACTCGGTCTGGACATAACATGACAGTTTATGCCCAGATTTAGGAGAGTGACTTGGTCCTCAGTGAGGTTAATTCCTGCAAGGTTCAGGAAGCCATCTCTTGGTCGTGGAATTGCCATAGGTCCTCCATATAATGTTGTTAGTTTCTTGATAATCCTTGTTTCAGTGCTGAGGTGATGTTGGTCTGTGAGGATGTCGAGGTGTTGTTCAATGCGGGTACGGATACTATGGTCGATGTTGCTATTTCTCCACTCGTTTGTAGCATGAAGTAGTTGCGTTTTTTTGTCTTTGATTTCATTCTCTGCCTTGTATATCTGATCACGAATCAGATCCTGGCGATATTTTATCGTGAAGGCTTGATTCCTTGCTGCTGGGTCGTGCACTTTAACATTAGTATATTTTGGTAGCAGTCTTTCCTGTAGACATATTTTATTAAATATGACCGAAAAAGTAAGATTAATAATTCTAACACGAATTTTCTCAATCTTTCGTACATTATGCTTCACTGTTGGAGGTAAATCAAAAATCACTTCTCCAAAATTCATTTTTATTTCTAGTCTGACGCGACACGGGCGCGTTTCGTAAAACTTATTACATTTTCAAAGACTTCACAAATACACAACTGATTAGAACTTGCGTTTCCCTGATTTTATATCTACATTTGAGTGAGGTGGGAAGGGTGATGTGGCATTACATTTGAGTAAGGTGGGAAGGATGATGTGGCATTAGAGGATATTAATAGGGTATTAAAAGTATCAACACAAGACAGAACACGAAACAATGGATATTGAATAGAAGTGTTTGTAGAAAGCCTATTGGTCCATATTTCTTGATGCTTCTATATTGGAGCGGAGTCTTGAGGTGGGTAGAATATAGTTGTGCAATAATTGGCTGTTGATTGCTGGTGTTGACTTCTTGATGTGTAGTGCCTCGCAAACGTCGAGCCGCCTGCTATCGCTGTATCTATCGATGATTTCTGTGTTGTTTACTAGGATTTCTCTGGCGATGGTTTGGTTATGGGAAGAGATTATATGTTCCTTAATGGAGCCCTGTTGTTTATGCATCGTTAAACGCCTAGAAAGAGATGTTGTTGTCTTGCCTATATACTGGGTTTTTTGGAGCTTACAGTCCCCAAGTGGGCATTTGAAGGCATAGACGACGTTAGTCTCTTTTAAAGCGTTCTGTTTCGTGTCTGGAGAGTTTCTCATGAGTAGGCTGGCCGTTTTTCTGGTTTTATAGTAAATCGTCAGTTGTATCCTCTGATTTTTGTCTGTAGGGATAACGTTTCTATTAACAATATCTTTCAGGACCCTTTCCTCTGTTTTATGAGCTGTGGAAAAGAAGTTCCTGTAAAATAGTCTAATAGGGGGTATAGGTGTTGTGTTAGTTGTCTCTTCGGAGGTTGCATGGCTTTTCACTTTCCTTCTTATGATGTCTTCGATGAAACCATTGGAGAAGCCGTTATTGACTAGAACCTGCCTTACCCTACAGAGTTCTTCGTCGACTTGCTTCCATTCTGAGCTGTGGCTGAGAGCACGGTCGACGTATGCGTTAACAACACTCCTCTTGTACCTGTCAGGGCAGTCGCTGTTGGCATTTAGGCACATTCCTATGTTTGTTTCCTTTGTGTAGACTGCAGTGTGGAAACCTCCGCCCTTTTCCATGACTGTTACATCTAGAAAAGGCAGCTTCCCATCCTTTTCCGTCTCGTAAGTGAAACGCAGCACGTGTCTTTGAAACGTGCGTGTAAGTGTCTTTGAAATCAAAGACAAAAAAACGCAACTACTTCATGCTACAAACGAGTGGAGAAATAGCAACATCGACCATAGTATCCGTACCCGCATTGAACAACACCTCGACATCCTCACAGACCAACATCACCTCAGCACTGAAACAAGGATTATCAAGAAACTAACAACATTATATGGAGGACCTATGGCAATTCCACGACCAAGAGATGGCTTCCTGAACCTTGCAGGAATTAACCTCACTGAGGACCAAGTCACTCTCCTAAATCTGGGCATAAACTGTCATGTTATGTCCAGACCGAGTGAAATGGCCCGGAAAGTGGAGTTGGAAATTCTGTTGGACGACATATTCGACCTCGAGACACAAAAGAAGGTCACTACCAAAGATACCTTACAAGCAGAACTTATTGCAGAAGGAGGAAAGAATCGAGGCAACTACAGAAGCACCATACTGTCCCCCGAGCTTAGAGCGGCAGCTAAAAGCCTTCGTGAGAACAAGGAGATAGTTGTCAGGAGAGGTGACAAGTCGCCAATATATGTCATTCTTAAAAAAGACGAATATCTGGCGAAAATGAACATCATACTCTCTGACCAAACTAAGTTCCAAAGGGTAACGAAGGACACTACAGCCGAATTAAAAGCAAAGGTCAACAAACTGATCGAAACTGTGAACGCCAAGAAATCCGGACTCCACCTGCCAAAGATCATTGGGGAATATAAACCTGGATATGCGTATGGAAATGTCAAGACGCACAAGCCTGGAAACCCACTTCGGCCAATCATTAGCCAGATACCCACACCCACGTACAGATTGGCGAAGCGACTCAACGGCCTGCTGACTCCTTATGTTCCTTGCGCCTTCAGCCTGAAGTCTCCAAAGGAATTTGTGGACTTACTGCGGGGCGCACGGGCCACAGGGATAAGAGCCTCGTTGGACGTAGAATCGCTGTTTACCAACGTACCTGTGGACGAGACAATCGGAATGATAGCCGACAGAGTGTATCGTGATCCAGCCTGTACTCCTCTTGACATGCCAGAAAGTATTCTGAGGAAACTACTCCAAGCTTGTACTAAAGAGGCACCCTTCTTGAGCCCGGATGGGCACATGTATAAGCAAGTAGATGGGGTCGCTATGGGTTCTCCCCTAGGTGTCCTGTTTGCAAACTTCTACATGGGTACCATCGAGCAAAAAGTCTTAGTCGACATGAACTTGAAACCGGCCATATACTGCAGGTATGTTGACGACATTTTTACACAGGTACCTGATGTCAGACATCTGCAGGAGCTGAAGGAGGCATTTGAGCAGAGTTCCGTGCTGCGTTTCACTTACGAGACGGAAAAGGATGGGAAGCTGCCTTTTCTAGATGTAACAGTCATGGAAAAGGGCGGAGGTTTCCACACTGCAGTCTACACAAAGGAAACAAACATAGGAATGTGCCTAAATGCCAACAGCGACTGCCCTGACAGGTACAAGAGGAGTGTTGTTAACGCATACGTCGACCGTGCTCTCAGCCACAGCTCAGAATGGAAGCAAGTCGACGAAGAACTCTGTAGGGTAAGGCAGGTTCTAGTCAATAACGGCTTCTCCAATGGTTTCATCGAAGACATCATAAGAAGGAAAGTGAAAAGCCATGCAACCTCCGAAGAGACAACTAACACAACACCTATACCCCCTATTAGACTATTTTACAGGAACTTCTTTTCCACAGCTCATAAAACAGAGGAAAGGGTCCTGAAAGATATTGTTAATAGAAACGTTATCCCTACAGACAAAAATCAGAGGATACAACTGACGATTTACTATAAAACCAGAAAAACGGCCAGCCTACTCATGAGAAACTCTCCAGACACGAAACAGAACGCTTTAAAAGAGACTAACGTCGTCTATGCCTTCAAATGCCCACTTGGGGACTGTAAGCTCCAAAAAACCCAGTATATAGGCAAGACAACAACATCTCTTTCTAGGCGTTTAACGATGCATAAACAACAGGGCTCCATTAAGGAACATATAATCTCTTCCCATAACCAAACCATCGCCAGAGAAATCCTAGTAAACAACACAGAAATCATCGATAGATACAGCGATAGCAGGCGGCTCGACGTTTGCGAGGCACTACACATCAAGAAGTCAACACCAGCAATCAACAGCCAATTATTGCACAACTATATTCTACCCACCTCAAGACTCCGCTCCAATATAGAAGCATCAAGAAATATGGACCAATAGGCTTTCTACAAACACTTCTATTCAATATCCATTGTTTCGTGTTCTGTCTTGTGTTGATACTTTTAATACCCTATTAATATCCTCTAATGCCACATCATCCTTCCCACCTTACTCAAATGTAATGCCACATCACCCTTCCCACCTCACTCAAATGTAGATATAAAATCAGGGAAACGCAAGTTCTAATCAGTTGTGTATTTGTGAAGTCTTTGAAAATGTAATAAGTTTTACGAAACGCGCCCGTGTCGCGTCAGACTAGAAATAAAAATGAATTTTGGAGAAGTGATTTTTGATTTACCTCCAACAGTGAAGCATAATGTACGAAAGATTGAGAAAATTCGTGTTAGAATTATTAATCTTACTTTTTCGGTCATATTTAATAAAATATGTCTATATATATATATATATATATATATATATATATATATATATATATATATATATATATATATATATATATATATATATATATATATGTATCCAGACGAGATCCAGCTTTGGCATGCAATGATGCAAGCTCGGTAAATGCATGTCCAGCCGAGTTCCACTTTTTGGCCATCTTAAACTTATTTGCAGCTTGTTGATATAGATCCATGGCTTCATCAACCTTTGAAGGTCCCCTGAAGAAAAAAAATCAATGTGACATAATTCAATACAGTGAAATAATATTAAACACCTGGATTTTTTTTTTTTAGGACATAAATTTATAACTTGTCTAGATCTGCCGCAAGGTGATACATGTCATATATTCAAATATCTAACCTTTTGGTTTACACACATCTTGGTTAACCCCTGCCACCTCCCCCCCCCCCACAATAGGAAAAATCAAACTAGAGATGACAAGGTTTATTGGGTCACAGGATTTATCCTAAAAATACAAATAATGTGAACTGTCAATATGTAAATGAGTGGTGTTATTTTGTAAAGAGTGAGGTAATATTACTGTACATTAATTTATAATATTGCAGATATTAGGTTTAAATATATAATAATTCCTGTGTAATAATCAGTAAACAGTGTAAAATTGTCCCTACAAATGCACTGTACCGGGATAGGGTTCTGGGAGTTTCGCATTGCAGGGAATGTTTAGGTCCCCTCCAATACAGATTGTGTGCTTTTCTCCTACCACCCCCCTTCCTTTTGTGTATTTTTTTGTGCTTTATGATGTATTTGAAGGTTACAAGATATACATTGGTTGATACAAAAAGTGCTCAAAGGTTATGGATCTCTTCAAGCTCCTCTGCTTCCAGACAGGAACCGAGGATGCAGCAGGCATTTCCCCTCTGGATCGCCACGCTGAGGCGCTGAAACAGAGAACTGGCAGTTCTTGGGTCTCTGCTGATGTCAATGAGCCTGGAGCCCAATTCCTTGAGAAATTCCAAGGCACTCTTACCCCAAGGGCCATGCATCTCAGATGCTATGGGAACAAAGGTGTATTGACCTACCTGTCGCCTGTACTCGAGTGATTTTGCCGTTTCCCTGTGGTTGGTCGCCCCACCTGCTTGATCAGCACCGAAGTGTACATAGGTGTCAGCCAGGGTGGATACACATGTGTAGTCCCACACCAACTGTTTGCCCCCTTTTCCAAGGGTATATAGTGATGCTATCAGGGCGAAGTGCTGGGTCATTCGGGTTTTGGTCCCCTAAGATGCGAGGTTCTCTCTCCGCTGGGCATTGAGCTCAGACGAGGCTTCTCTTGATGACATCATTGACCTCATTGTGTCTTGCATGCCAGCCCTTTGTGCTTCCACAATGTAACCCATGCAGCCCATATTGGTCTGCTTCCACCCTGTTGCAAATACACTTGTATTCAGTGTGAATTGGGGCACCAAGGCGGAGGGCCACTGCTACACGAAGGGATTCTGGATCTAGATGCGTGCCCATTGCCGACATTGGGGTTGCTAATAGGAAGTCACCTGCATGGGAAGCTGCTACAGCTCTAAGTCGGGCAGTGTCATGAGGTGTTGTCGCAGCTTCTTGGTCGACAATAGGGCGATCCCAGCTAGATTGCTCATGGGCTTCAGAAGGTATATGACAGCATATTCTGTATTGATTATTTTCTTGTTTAGGGCTTCTATCCCTCTGACTAGTGCTCTTGCATCTGGGTTTAACTTGAAGAGCTCTCCAAAAGTCATGTTCTTTCGAGGTGAAGAAAAAGAAATAAATAACTGTAGAATGTAATACACTTATTATAAAATTACACATTTCAAACCTACATGGTTCATTCTCAAGTGATGTGACAGTACAGGACATATTGTATTTATACCATTAGGGGGCCAGGTGTAGACAAATGGATTGAACAATGGGTTATATAGGGGTATACAAATGGATTGAACAATGGGTTATATAGGGGTATACAAATGGATTGAACAATGGGTTATATAGGGGTATACAAATGGATTGAACAATGGGTTATATAGGGGTATACAAATGGATTGAACAATGGGTTATATAGGGGTATACAAATGGATTGAACAATGGGTTATATAGGGATATACAAATGGATTAAGAATAAGGCATAAAGGAGTAAAGAGTAGAATAAGGCGAAATAGGGTACAAAACACATATAAAGATTAATCAGGTACAGTGGGCGTGGCATGTTGAGCAGTGTCTTCTATGTTGGCATCTTCGCATTCTGGTCGTGTTCTTACTCTCATGGTGGGTAGAGTGAATAGTTCTGTAATTTCGGTATTTATGTTGGGTTCTATTTTTATGTGGATTGCTTCAAGAATTTGTAATCTTCTTAAATCTTGAGTTTCATCTATTATACAAGTGTTTTTATTCAGCATTTCTCGTTAGGATGATGTCTGACTGCGGTAAAGGGATCTCCGTCAGCTTCGGGCTGTTTTTAATAAAAAGGTTGGTAGTCTTCTCTGTTTTATAGAATATGATTAGGTCAATGTTTTGGTTAGGAGTAATGCTTTTTTCTCCTTTATGGATTATTTCTTTCATTATTCTTCTTTTTTATGTTCACTGTGCATAGTTGATTTGTAATATAATTTTATTGGAGGTGTTGTGGTTTCTGTTCTAGGTTCAGGATTGTACCATCAGTCCAGATGTCTTCTTATAGTAGTGTTTATTTCTGTGTTGCTATATCCATTGTTCACCAACACCTGAGTTACTCTTTCAAACTCCCTACTCACATTGCTCCATTCGGAGCAGTGGGTAAGTGCTCGACGAATATAAGCATTGAGAACATTGGCTTTGTATCTTTGGGGGCACTCACTCCTACTGTTTAGGCATAATCCTATGTTGGCAAGCTTAGTATATATGCTGGTGCTTAACCACTGCACTGCGCCAAACGACAAATGCTGTTTTGAGAGTTGTCCATTTTTTTTTTAATTAGCTATACTGTATTTTAATATTTTTTAATGTTTTCATCACTTTGTGTTTTAAAATTAAAATAGTTGAGTTTGGAAACATTTTTACATTAACTTTACCTGAACATTTATAAAACCAACAAAAATATGTCCTTAACACTTTAGCGCTTTGGGCGAGCGAGCATTTCTCCTAACCTAGTGGTTTTGGACGTTCTGCGGGAGCTCGCGGTAATACTGAAAAGTGTATACTCTTTTCAACTTTGTCACCTTAATTTTCGTCCTAGGTTTTCCAATTTGATATCAATGTGTTCGCAATAGAATTCTCTACACGATTAAATGCATATGAAGTCCGAAAGCCCAGCTTACCACCCGCAGCAAACAGAGAAAGTGAGAGAAAGTTACACAAGAGCGTGCAAGAGCGATAAAATGTGTACATTCTTTTCACTTTGGTCACCTCAATTTTCGTCCTAGGTCTTTCATTTTGGTATGAATGTGTTTGCAATAAAATTCACAACAAAAGTGTATGCATATAATGTCAAAAACCGTGGTGCGCTCCACCTGCCGACGTGATGAAAACAGGTGATGAGAGCAGGGTGGAGGGCCGGGCCGTCCATTAGAGAGCGAGGTAATACTGAAAAGTGTATACTCTTTTCAACTTTGTCATCTCAATTCTCATCCTAGGTTTTCCAATTTGATATCAATGTGTTCGCAATAGAATTCTCCACACGATTAAATGCATATGAAGTCCGAAAGCCCGGCGTACCACCCGCACAAAACAGAGAAATTGAGAGAAAGTTACCCGAGAGCGCTAAAGAGCAATGAAATGTGTACACTCTTTTCACTTTGGTCACCTCAATTCTCGTCTTTGGTTTTTCATTTTTATATCATTGTGTTCGCAATAGATTCTCTACAGGAGTATATGCATATATAAAGTCCAAAAGCACGGCGTACCACCCACAGCAAACAGAGAAAGTGACAGCGCGTTACCCCAGTGAGCGCTAATAAAGAGCAATAAAATGGGTTTGCTCTTTTCAACTTTGTTACCTCAATTCTGGTCCTAGGTCTTTCATTTTGGTATCAATGAATTCACAATGAAATTCCCTAAAGGCGTATGTGCATATAAAGCCCAAAAGAATGGCAAGAAAGTGAGAGCAAGTTACCCGGGAGCGTTAAAGAGCAATAAAATGTGTACACTCTTCACATTGGACATCTCAATTCTCGTCCTAGGTCTTTCATCTTGATATCATTGTGTTCGCAGTAGAATTCCCTACACGATTAAATGCATGTAAAGTCTAAAAGCCCGGCATACCATCCTCAGCAAATAGAGAAAGTGACAGAGCGTTACCCCAGCGCTAATAAAGAGCAATAAAATGGGTTTGCTCTTTTCAACTTTGTTACCTCAATTCTGGTCCTAGGTTTTAGGTTTTTCATTTTGGTATCAATGGATTCGCAATGAAATTCCCTTCAAGGAGCATATGCATATAATGTCCAAAACTGCGGCGAAAGCAGGCCAATTTTTTTTTAATTTTTGACTCCATACTTCGTCATCGGTGGCTATTAAAAAGTAAAATTTTGACTCCATACTTCGTCATCGGTAGGCGAAAGTGTTAACAATTGTACTATGAAGTTTTTGCCAAAAACAGGTGCATAGTGCAGGGGTGAGGTTCCTGTTTTTGTTATTAGTATATCCAGGAATGGCAGACTGTTATTTTCACGTGTAAATCGGAGTACAGTGGAACCTCGAGTGACAAGTGGCTCCAGTTATGAGTATTTCGGGTAATGAGCAAACCACTCGCAGAAAATATGTCTCGACTGACGAGCTTTTCCTCGATTAACAAGCATTCCCGCTGGTTCTCGGACACCTCCGACAACAGTTTTGTTGTTGTTTCACAAGACGAGTTTTCCACATGACGAGCTTGGTGCCAGAACGGCTCAAACTCGTTAATTGAGGCGCCACTGTACTGACTGACTCTCTAGATGGCTTTTTAGATCAATTGGTTCATCTGAGTCTTTTACCATGACGAATATGTCGTCTACATAACGGCAGTATACAATTGGTTTTTGCCTACTACTGAAAACTATCGCAAGCCATTTGAATCGTGGCCGGCACCCTATGTTGTATATGTATGCCAGGCGCACAGTGGGACGTGTTACTCAGGTCGTATATATATATGCCATGCGCCGTTTTAGGGTTAACATCATTAGTATACAAACCAAGCAATAATAAAGCAAACACTCTAATGATAATGACCACTGTCATTCACGTGATCATTAAATTAAGGTGTCTGCATGTTGAGAGTTAAAAATAGAAAAGATAAGTCATCTAGCTTTCAACTCGTACCTTCCAGGGAGCCACAATTTTCTGGACATGTAGGACATCGAATCCTGTGGTCCTGGGTTCGATCCCAGGCGCCGGCGAGAAACAATGGGCAGAGTTTCTTTCACCCTATGCCCCTGTTACCTAGCAGTAAAATAGGTACCTGGGTGTTAGTCAGCTGTCGCGGGCTGCTTCCTGGGGGTGGAGGCCTGGTCGAGGACCGGGCCGCGGGGACACTAAAAAGCCCCGAAATCATCTCAAGATAACCTCAAGATAAGACATCTTCACTCCTAACTATAACAATGCTAACATATGGTAAAGATTTGGATAGGTCAGGAAAAAGTTGGGAATGGGCATCTCTTCATAAAAGCACTAATATCCAAAAATATCCCAGAATGCAGACCAATTACATCATGACATTCAACACCTCACACAGAGAACAGAGAATATACAAGTTTACCTTTTGGTTTGCTATACTCAGGGACAGGAAGGCTCTTAGGCTTACACATGTTATATATAAGTATCTACATTTGTGTTCACCATCGTGAACCACTAAACTGCTACGATGAGTAGCAGCTTACTCTTAGGCTTACCGAGGCCCCCCCCCCTTCCCCCGAGAGAAATTACTAACCTTCCCCACAATGCAACCCACAACAATTTATATTTTATTTATATATATATATATATATATATATATATATATATGTGTATATCACGAAAATAAACACGAGATATATATATATATATATATATATATATATATATATATATATATATATATATATATATATATATATATATATAATCACATATATATATAATCACATATATATATAAAATAAAAAATAAATTGTTGTGGGTTACATTGTGGGGAAGGTTAGTAATTCTAGATGAAGTGTAGTAAAATTTGCATTCAACACAACAATCATGATACAAGATGATAGCAGTGAACAGTGTCTAATTCCTTGCTACTCATTTACAACTAGGCGAACTAGGCATCAGGTGAAATCTGGCCTAACTTCTGAACTGCCGGAAGAATTGAACTCGTCTTTTCGGCTTTGACCCAACTGCGTTGACCACCGCGTTAAAGGGCATTTCTTTCGCCCCATCCCATCCCAAACTCTTATCCTCATCCCTTCGAGGTGCTTTATAGTTCTAATGGTTTAGCACTTTCTCCTGATAATTATCATACCGTATCTTCAATAATTGTCATTACATTGGATTAGGAGAGGTTTGGCAAGTTTAAAGTGTACCGGTGACAGCGCGACTACTCCTTCGGGGTCTTCTGAACACCAGTGGAAACCAAGGCCAACGTTCATAGCCAACTTTATAACTCTAATTATCCGCATACACGTCCACAGCTTCACGTGGCTGCTGTATGCCGCCGGACAACAGTTACAATGAATGTGATCAACTTCTTGAAACCAGAAATACAACGAACTAAATAAGCACTATGTTAATATATATATCCACAAAAACCTTGTTAACCCTCTTTCCTAAAAACATTATCTAAACACATTGAAATAAACGTGTCGTCGGTTAGTGAGTGATATGGGCACCTTTAACAGCCAATAATATATTGGATATGCACAATAAATGAAAGCAAATATATGAGTACTGTTGAAACAAGACCTAGACACCCTCCCACTTTCCACCAAGGAAATAACCTTACCCAAACAGAGAGCCGAGAAAGCCTTTGGAGGAACTGAGCTTCTTCTCAGCCTCCGCCATCAGCTGCATGGCCTTCTGCTCCGCGTCAGCCATTCTCAAGGTAAAGATGAACCAATACGTCGTTATACTCGTCGCCCAGAAGGAGACAAAGCTCGTCTGCCTCTCAAGTATAAGCGGCAGACTGGTGATTGTGCACTGTCTTAGTCATGGGATCCACTTCCATATAATGCCGCCACTTACATACTACAACACCCTACATTGAGTCTAGAATCCTAACCTTGTACTGACTCAAGTCGTTTATATGGAGTATTGACTAATCGATTGTATATACTGTAAGCCCTCAATAGATGGCGCTGCCATCGCCTCTCTCATCTGTCATCACAAACTATTTTGTATTGTCTAACAATAAATAACTCGAAACTTTTCCTAAATTTTTCTCTACTCAAACTTACCATAAATTTAGTTTAAAAGGAAAGAAACTAATTAATTTTCAGTATTGATTTACCATCTCTGCTGTTTATTTTACGAATTGCGAATCCTATTTATTTTGAGCGAAGCAATAACAATAACAATAACGAATCAATATATTTTGGACAATTTTTTTTACATTAAATTAAATCAAATCTAAATCTAGATACATCTTAAATCATCAAAATCATTGATGTTTTTACATTCATGTAAAGCCAGTAACACGCATAGCGTCTAACCGATCATTTTATGTAAGTAATTTCATGCAAAATTGAGAAATGTTAACAGGTATTTGTTTATTTTATTAAAAAGCTTAGGTATACACAACAATGTGCTGCTACCCTATTCTATATGAAAGATTACACAGCGTAGATCCAAAATTAGCTATAAGTTCATCTAATATTCCCGTCTCACAGGATGGTTCAAATCAAATCAAATGTTTATTCAGGTAAAAGTACATACACTTATATGCTGTGCTTACTATATTAATCTGCGATGTTAAATGTTGTATTGTGACTTGTGTATCTGTACTCACTGAATTTGTGCGCCCCTTGAGGGACTTGAAATAGAGGGGGGGGGGCTAGAAATAGCCTAAGCTACTCTATCCCTTTGAGATGTATCTTTTTTCTTGTCTTAATAAACATACTTGAACTTGAACTTGAACATACATAAGATGAGTTACAAAGATAATATTGGATTTATAGATAGAGCTAGTTTATGCAATGCCTAAAACCACTTATACGCAAGCCGTTTCGGGCAAGGTGTGGGAAAACTTCAAGAAATTAACTTGAGTGTAAGATCTCTAAGTAAACACTTTGATGAAGTTAGTGCCCTAATTCAAACAGATGACATCAGATTCTCCTTTGTTATACTTACTGAAACGTGGTTAAAAGAGGATACTATACAACTCTTTAACATACCAAGCTACTCGATCAGCGCTGAGAACTGACATGCTTAAAAGTAATTAGAGCTCTCTCTCCCTGTGGAGAGTTTATCTTTGCCTGTTTCCGAGTCAAGGGTGCCGAGGTTGACCTGACTGTGGGAACAGTTTACAGAATTCCTAACACTGATGTGTCTGAATTCAACTGTAACCTTAGAACTCTATTACTAGCTAACAGACTTAATAAAAACCAACTAATAATTTCGGGGGATTTTAATATTGACCTCTACGAGCCTGATAACCCTCCTACTGCTAGTTGTCCTCAACTGCATGAATTCCTGCTTTCTCATACCCTTAATCACTTAACTTACTAGAATCACTGATACGACTGCCTCTACTCTTGACCACATCTGGACTAACATAACCTCTCCACTTAGTTCAGGGATAATCATTGATAGGACCACAGACAATTACCCAACTTTTCTCCTAATCAACATTAATAAACCTCTCTAGATACAATGATGAGAGGATATACCTCGCTCTGCCCTGGTGACGCTCTATTACTCCCTCATCTATCCTTATCTCAATTACGGTATTTGTGCTTGGGGTTCTACTTCACAAAATCATTTACGTCCTCTAATTACCTAACACAAAGCTGCTATTAGGACAATATCCAACTCTGGCCCCAGACAGCACTCGGTACCCTTACTCAAATCTTTGAATATGTTAGATATTAAGTCACTGCACATCCTCTCTTGTGTACTCTATATATTTTAAACTCTCAACTGTAATGCCAATCCTGACCTTAAACGCTTCCTAGAAGGTTAGATGTATTTTTTTCCTTGTATCAATAAACCTACTTGAACTTGAACTTGGTTGTAACCCATGGGCAGTTGAACCCATGGGCACTACAGCAGAAACAAATGCCTATTTGACATTCCAAGAGTGTGCCTTAACCAACTAAGAAATGTTCTACAAATCAAAGAACCCAGAATGTGGAATGACTTTCCCAATCATGTTAAAGGCTGTACCTCTCTCAACCAGTTTAAGAGAAAAACTAAGTACTACCTTACGGAGTCAGAGGTCACTCCCTGCAATACCTCAAATCTTACCTTACTGACAGACTCCAGTATGTTTCTGTGAATAATTCCATTTCTCCCACCCTACCCATCAACATTGGTGTTCCACAGGGCAGCATACTTGGCCCTCTCCTCTTTCTCATCTACATTAATGACCTTCCAAATGCCTCCCAACACCTCAAACCAATTCTATTTGCTGACGACACGACCTTCATTTACTCCAGTCCTGACCCCCCTTGCTCTTAATATCACAGTGAATACTGAGCTAAATAAAGTCCATCTTTGGCTAACTGCGAACAAACCCACCCTTAACATTGACAAAACTTTCTATATTTTGTTTGGTAATAAATCCTCAAATCAAATAAATCTCAGGATAAATAATACCCAAATTTGTAACAAAATAGATGGCAAATTCATTGGCGTTCTCATTGACCGCAAGCTGAATTTCCAGGGACGCATTCTAAATATATCAAAAAAAGTTTCAATAACTGTTGGCATTCTTTCTAAGATCAGATATTATGTTCCTCGCCCTGCCCTGGTGACGCTCTATTACTCTCTCATCTATCCTTATCTCAACTATGGTATCTGTGCTTGGGGTTCTACTACCCAAAATCATTTACGTCCTCTAATTACCCAACACAAAGCTGCTATTAGGACAATATCCAACTCTGGCCCTAGACATCACTCGGTACCCCTACTCAAATCTCTGAATATGTTAGATATTAAGTCACTGCACATCCTCTCATGTGTATTTATATAATATATATATATATATATATATATATATATATATATATATATATTTATATATATATATATATATATATATATATATATATATATATATATATATATATATATATATATATATATATATATATATATATATATATATATATATATATATATATATATAAAACGCTGAACTGTAATGTCAATCCTGACCTTAAAAGCTTCCTAGAAGGTTGTAACAGATCCCATGAGCACCACACAAGAAACAAATACCAATTTGATATTCCAAGAGTACGACTTAATCAAACTAGAAATGCTCTACAAATCAAGGGACCCAGAATGTGGAATGACCTTCCCAATTATGTTAAAAACTGTACCTCTCCCAACCAGTTTAAGATAAAAATTACCTAATTAACTCCATGTAACCTACCTCACCCCAAAATGTCAACCCATGTCTTCTGTATTAAACAATGCTGTTGAGTGATGTCTGGGGCCAGACTTAGATATTGTTCTAATAGCAGCTTTGTGTTGGGTAATAAGAAGACGTAAATGATTTTGGGTAGTAGAACCCCAAGCACAAATACCATAGCTGAGATAAGGATAGATGAGAGAGTAATAGAGCGTCACCATGGCAGGGCAGGGTAGAAATAGCTTAAGCTACTCTATCCCTTTGAGATGTATTTCTTTCTTATCTCAATAAACATACTTGAACTTGAACTTATACTAGCTCTATCTATATATCCATCAACTTTTGTATCTCACCTTGTATGTATGTACTTTACCTGAATAAATATTTGTATTTGTATTTGTATAAGAAGGTTTTGGTGGTTGACAGTGTCAAAAGCCTTACGTAGATCCACAAATAACCCAACAGGGAACTCATTTACAATACAATACAATTTTATTTAGGTAAGGTACATACATACAATAAATATTTACAAGGATTGTTTAACTTATAGGTATAGCTAGTACATACAATGCCTAAAGCCACTATTACGCAAAGCGTTTCGGGCATGAATTTTTATCAAGAGCTGCATGAATCAAGTTAATCATACTAATAAGTGCATCGTTAGTGCTTTTTTGGGTCTGAAGCCATATTGACAAGAGCTTAGTATATTGTGTTTGGCTAAATAAGAGTAAAGCTATTTGTAGATTAGTTTTTCAAATATTTTTGACAAGTTTGGCAGAATTGATATAGGTCTGAAGTTGTTGACATCAGTGAGAGTTTAGTTAGTTTAGGTCATTTATTATGCACCCCATACCCATCTTGTGGGCGGTAGTGGAAAGGGTTACAGAGGCACATAATGGGCTCAGGGACTGAACCCCACAATTCATTTAGCTAAGCAAGTTACAATCTTGATGAGCTAGTTACAAAATTCAATATAAGTCGTCACATCAACAATGGGTTCGTGAGATCACCACATTTATGGACTGGGGTTACTCTCGCTTTTTTTTAGAATATCTGGAAAAGTTTGGAGTTCATGTGACTTATTGTAGAGCAATGCAATGGCAGGGGCTAAAGATCTGGAGGCTTATTTGTAGATTAGAGTTGGCATCTCCGCAAGGGCACTAGACTTGGTCTTAAGGGAAAGGATTACCTCATTTACACCAGTGGAATTAGCGGGCGTTAGGTACAGAGACTGTGGGTAGTTACCTGTAAGATAGTCCTGAACATTAGTACTGGAAGATGGAATATCATTAGCAAGGGATGACCCAATGGATGAGAAGAACCTATTGAATTCAATAGCAGTATCAGTGGCTGAAAGCAGACCATCGTTATTGGACAGGATTATTAGTTTGTTATTTAAATTTTTTTTTATCCCAATATTTGTGAAATTGTGCTCCATGTTTTCTTGATGTTACCCTTTGTTTGAGTAAGTTTATCTTCGTAGTATTTAATTTTGGCTCTTCTAATTATTTTAGTTAGTAATGATGAGTAATTCTTTGAAAATTCTTTGGAGACGATACCTAACTTATACTTCTTCTCAAGTTCATGTTTTTTATTAATAGATTTAAGTATCCCCTTTGTAAGCCAAGGATTGTTTAGCCTTTTAGTTGTGACTTGTTTCGTTAGCATAGGACAGTGGGTGTTATAAAGGCTGAGAGTTTTTTGAAGAAATGATTGCACTGCTAGGTTGACGTCCCTTATGTTACCTAATTCGGACTCCCAGTTGGTATTAGCTGCAGCAGCTATAAAATAAGCTGAATTACCAGCTTATGATTATTCAGCTGTTATTCCACGGTCATTCAGGAAAGAATTGAGGTGAGCTTCAGTGGTTATTACATAGGTTTTTCCAGTGTCAGACTTCCTAGCTATAATTTTACCATCTCGCACAAAACAATGTTTAATTGCAGAATAATTTTTGCGGAATCCACGCAGTTTAAGTAAGAGATTTTGTCTGAATCTGGTCAGATATTCATTCACATAAACAGTAGATTTACTAGAGACTGCAGAACTAATAAAGTCTGAGAAAGGAAATCAAGTGAGAACATGAAATGTAAGACTATTAGCGTCCACAAACAAAATCTAGGTACAGCACAAGAATATCTTCCAATATTCCTGAGTGTATGAAGTAATTACAGAGCTCAAAGTACCTCACACCATTTGGTCTGAAGTCACTTATAACAGGGCAATCACAGATATAGTGTAGGAGAGTATGTCCCAGCTCTTGTTCACATAGTTTACAATTGTAATGTTCATCACTGGGGGCTTAATTACCTGCAGCCACCTGCCATAGATATCGATATCCCAGCCTAATGCTGTCAGTTACAATGTCACACTGCCTAGTGGATGTTGTATGCTGCCCGTACATATAATTCTCGGTTCTAAACATGTCATAGCTCGTTATACTCGTGCTTTCTGGCCTTTGTGAGTTAATGACTGCTCTTCTATCTTCTCTAATTTCCTGTAATATCGTGGCTTTTACAGCATATTACATAGCCAAGATTGGAATGCCTGATTTAGATTGACTCATGGGGTATCAGAGATATTTATTTCTGGTGTGGTAATTATGGGTTCTATTATGATATGTAATTATATATTATAATAAAATAATCTATAATCTATTATAGTAAATAATAATGAGGCCTCACTATTCTTGCTTATAATGTAGAGGTCGCAGGTTCAACTGAACATATTTTTTTACTCACAACCTTCGGATACGCAACATTTTGGCAAGTATATATTTACAAATAAAATATTTACACATTTAAGCATATTATATATACGGTCTTGGCTTTGGAGGGAGGAGAAGCGAGTGAGGTCAGGGGAGTATGCCAGCGACCAGTGTTGAGAGTTTACACTGGTGAGCTCTACGTCCAGCTGAGACTGTGAGTAAACTCTAACTACAGTTAACATTTACACCTGGTTATGACCCGTGATGGTGGCATGTTAGTTACTGGGGTCAATTGTTAGGTATACCTTACCCATGGTGCCGGGTGAGGTCACCTTATCCATGGTGCTGGGCGAGGTCACCTTATCCATGGTGCCGGGCGAGGTCACCTTATCCATGGTGCCGGGCAAGGTCACCTTACCCATGGTGCCGGGCGAGGTCACCTTATCCATGGTGCCGGGCGAGGTCACCTTACCCATGGTGCCGGGCGAGGTCACCTTATCCATGGTGCCGGGCGAGGTCACCTTATCCATGGTGCCGGGCGAGGTCACCTTATCCATGGTGCCGGGCGAGGTCACCTTATCCATGGTGCTGGCGATGCTGGGAGAGATAGTGACCTTACCCCATGGTGACCTCTACATTACCCATGATGCTGGGTGAGGTTACCCTACCCATGGTGCTGGCAAGGTCACCTTGCCAGCACTGCTTATCCGAATTACCAGATATATGGGAAGGACCCCCTGCCGGATAAGCCAGACATGCTGATAAGCAGAATTCTTACCGAGGAAGTCCAAAAGTTAACATATTAAACAATTTTTTTATTGTTTTGGATTGACTAGGTGGCTCCCTTGTCACCTAGTGCAGGCTAGGTAACCTATGTTTCATTGTTACCTTGGTTACCTAATCTCTCCATCCCTTGCTCCACTGTACTCTGGCTATGTCTGCACCTGTATTGTAAACTTTTGCTTTCAATGTACCTGAGTGTACCTCAAAGTAATCTACCTCATTTATTTATTTATATACAAGAAGGTACATTGGGTTTATGAGAGTACAGAGACTTGAAGTTGTAAAGCTACTAGCATGCATAGCGTTTCAGGCAGATCCTTAATCTAACATAATTTTAAGAAGTTAATTTCTAGTACAGTAAAATTACAAAAATATTTACAGGTATAATGTAAGAAAGCATTAAAATACATTGTAAGAAGGTATAAAAATGCAATGGAAGAAAGTATAAACAAATACTGTACATTGTATAAGAAATTTGACAGAAAAAAAGAAAGTAGGTACATTAAAGTAAATTTAAAAGATTATCCACAGGTACATTTTAGCATAATTTGAGGAATATTGCAAGATATAATATAGCAAACTATGTGTATAACATGATTCAAGATGGCAGCAATGATTACAATGGTAAAGTTGAATGGCATAGGTATTGTACATATATGGGGGACTTGGGTGGCACTAGATACAGTGCAAGTTTCAAGCACTAGGTAGGAAACTATGATGCTATGAATGTTATGAATCATTTATTTTAGTGTAAATTTTTTTAATTTTGCTTAATTTATTTTATTCTAAACATAATCAGTTTTTATTAAATCCTTATTTTTACTTGTCTTCTGTATTCTACTTGTCTAATTACATTGATTCTTAGTTAATTTTTCTTGTTCTTTTATTTGCAATTTTTGCTATAGTTTTTTAAATCTAGAATTTATTTTGTAATTGCTTCTAATCTCATTATCGTACTGAAATTAGTTTATTTTATTTTATTTTCATTACAGTGCATCATTAATTGTACCTTTGCCATTTTACCATCAAACAGCCTACTTATGCAACCTAGTATAGACCCAGAACTAAACCTCTTAATAAATAATCTATGTTAACCCTTAGACCATGCATATTGGGGGCCTGGTAGCGAACAATATTCAAATTATGTAAAAAAACTTAAAAATATTAAACAAATTTCCAACTTATTGGCTTCAGTGTTGTGATACTTTCATCAAAATATTTTCAAAAATTGATTTTAGACAAATTTTTTAAAAATAACATTTTCTTGATAAGGAGAACAGCTCCTAATAACTGGAACTGAAGGATTATGCTGTAATAAAGAGATGCAAACACCTGTCTGACACTCAAAGAAGAAGAATAGTAGTAAGAAGTGTCCACAAAGTGGATATGCAGTTGTTGCCTTTATATCATTGCTGAGTAATACATAATAACACAAATAATAATGAATAACTAAGTTAATATGATCTATTTTGTTATATATCATATAAATACATTGTCCAATGTTAATATATGTTACTTTCATCAATGTCCCCAAAATATTTTTTTTAGGGGATTTTTTTTTTTTTTTAAGATTTTAGTTTTTTTCTCCTTTGTTTATTATCTGATTTTGTTGTAACCTTTACATCCTGGAGAATGCATATGTTTCCCTAACTATGTGAAGATAGAATGAAATTGGTCAACAAATAAATCAGTCACAACTCGCAAAACTTGGGACTTTTAATTTTTTTTGGTTGATTTTTTCTCTGATTTCAAACTCTATTTTCTTTGTCTCTTTAGGTTGTTTTGATGATTAGGGACCATATTAGGGCTTTTTCACTTATATAAAGTATACCCTAAATATATCCCCTAAATCATTATAATTACAGCATTATAATTATCCCTATATTTTGTGTTTTTGGGGGGTTATTTTTTCTTGACTTCATTTCAACTCATATTGACCTACAACTTTCACATATTCGAGTACGAATGCCAAATAATGTTTATTAAAACATACAATTAAACAGTAGTAGATCTTTTCTATGTTTAGTGTGAGTTTGTTGGTTGACATCCATAAGGGGACTCTTTTTAATTTGTTATTTACAACATTATTTAGTGTGTGTGGATTGGGGTCTGAGTAGATGAAGGTTGTATCATCAACAAATAGCATAGATTTAAGAATGTTAAGGGACATTTGGCATATTATTGATGTATGCAGTATAAGAAATAGGAGAGGTCCTAGGATGTTGCCCTGTGGCACTCCTACAGTTGATAGTAGAGTGAGGAATAACTAGGATATAGACTACTACTTTGACTAGAGCTTAGTTAATTTCTGTGCTATTATTATCTAATAAGTTAACTAAGTTATAAAACTAAATACAGGAGTACCTCGGTTTAAGAGTTTAATCCGTTCCAGGAGACAGCTCTTAATTTGAAAACTTGTAAACCGAAGCTAATTTCCCCATAAGAAATAATGGAAAATAAATTAATCCGTTCCTGACTACCCAAAAACCTCACTTTAAATTTAATTTTATACCTAATTCGTATAAAAGTACGAATTGTAGTGTATCTACACTACAAAAGTATGTTCAAGTTATTACTTACCCTTGCTGATGACTGCTGTTGGCGAATGGAAGATGGTGAGGAGGAGGGAGAAGGAGAGGTATTCACCTAGTTATGTTTGTGGGGGTTGAGCTCTGCTCTTTCGGCCCGCCTCTCGACTGTCAATTAACTGTTTAGTTACTACTTTTTTTTTTCCACACACACCCCCAGGAAGCAGCCCATGACAGCTGACTAACTCCCAGGTACCTATTTACTGCTAGGTTACAGGGGCATTCTGGGTGAAAGAAACTTTGCCCATTTGTTTCTGCCCCTTGCGGGAATCGAACCCGCGCCACAGAATTACGAGTCCTGCGCGCTATCCACTAGGCTACCAGGCCCCAGGTGTTGATGTTTGGAAGGGGAGTCCCATTCCATTATAACAACAGGCAATGATGACATTTCTGGGGTACTCTCTCTCTCTTACGTTTTGCAGGCATACCACTATGACCTAGTTGGGGCTCACTGCTTGTTTGTCTCGCTAAAAATCTGTCTATCGATACTTGTTTTTCCCTATGTTTTAACACTTAAAGTGAGACATCACATTGTCATTAAAAAGATTAACACAACGGCCTACTGCAGCTTTATCTTGGGTAGTCGTTTCAGCAAAATTCTGTAGTTCTTCCCATATTGCACACATTTTCGTAATGATGAAGTCATTAAGTCATTGTACTCACTCGACTCACAACTATTTTCTTAGGTTAAACTTTACCACTGACTTTCTAGGGACCCATGGCGTGATAAGTTATAATACTGTAATGACTTTTATATTCAGAAATAACAAAATCACAAAAACAATGCAATTCTTTACAAAGAATTCAAGCGCAGTTGTCACTGGGCAGGACACACTGGTAAACTGAGGCGCACCACGTGCTCGTCAACCCGTACGTGTATCAACAAACTCGAGAACCGAGGCAAACCTCAAATACCGAGTGAAATTTTTTGGAGAAATTGAGCTCAAAAACCGAAAAATTTAAAAGTGGAGCATTCGAAAAGTTTGGTATTCGAAAACTGGTGTTCCACTGTACTTGTATCCATGGGCAGGCAGAAGGGCTGTTAGTGCCACTCGTGTCCACAAATGGGCTGCTGTCCATGGTGTCATTGTGTGCATGGCTGTTGTTGTACGATGGTTAAGTAGTCCAGCTGTTTACTGTGGGGGCACCGCGTTTGATGTGGGCGACGGCTGCTTGCGTAGAATGGTTGCGACCCGTGGCCGACCTCTTAAGTATCTGTGGGGTGTGCACGCGCAGCCCAGTGCAATTCGATTCAATCGTTTTCCTCATACAGAAACTCCCGCTTTTGCAAGCAGGATCATATACTAGTGTACAGTACTGTACTGTAGTAGCTGAGGTATACATTGAAAAATTACAGTAAAAGGAGTTAACATAGGTAATTACAGTCAGGTAATTAAAATCACATATCATCTCATAGGTTAAGATGGTGATACAGTAATGAGAAATTATATTGATGAAGTTATTTTTAGATAGTACAGTACTATACTAAGTGAGGTAGCAGCAGACAAGGGGTTCTGTGGTGAGAAAATTGGGTACATCTTTGCTTTACCATTTAGTAAAGTATTAAGTAATTCTTTACCTTATTAGGAAGAGAGTTCAACATATTGGAGCCTATATTTGCATGGTATGTTGGCATATTTAGTTAGACTGGGAATGTCAAAGAAATTTGTTATTCTGGTGTAATGTGCACTGGTTTTATTGCATCCTTCTAAGAAGAGTTTCAAGTCAGGTATATATGTGTAAATGTAGAGTGAACAAGAATGTATGGAGTGCAGGGCTGAGGGAGATGAATAAAGGAACTGTATATATATTGTCTGAAGACATAATTTGTTATAGAATTGACAGTTCTCAATGTTTCCCAGCAGCAAGAAGCCTAGACACCATGCAGACTCTGACCTGGTTAACGTTGATGTTGGTGACCGTGTTTCAGCCAGCTTCATCAACTCTTGTCAGTGTTACCTTTGATGGTATACTGTATAGAGCCCATGATGGACTTGTTAAGAACTGGGTTGCTAGAGGCAATTTCACTGACAACATTCTTGTTGATGGGTATGTATGTATTTTTCAACTTTTTAGCATCAGGAATAATTTCCATGTCAGTGATTAGTAAGCCTCCATTTACCTGTCTAGTCATTAGATCTAGAACATATAGGCCTATTCTGTGTTCCTACCAAATACCTAATTCACTAGACCATTATAAATGTCTCTCACAAGGAAGAAGGATGTAAATTTCATACTTCTCCCTAGAAGTATGTAACACAACTGGAATGATAACTTAATTACACACCAGAAGATGAGGAGACGACGACGTTTCAGTCAGTCCTGGACCGTTATCAAGTCGATTGTGATGGGAGCGTTGGAGGCACGGGGCATTAACTAAGGCAAGAGAGAGAGAGAGAGGTGAGGAGCATGTAAGAGGAGGTAATTCCTAGAGGAAGGAAAGAACAAGAAGAAAGGGATGGATAGCAGTAATAATGGGGTGTAAGAAGGGTGTAATAAAGGGTATTAGAATGAGAACATAAGAATAAGAGGTGAAAGAAAAATATCTTTAGCTTTATGTCCTCTTGACATAAAGCTCGGCTTTCGAGAAACTAATACTCTTCTTAGTAATCTGATTCACACTGTTCCTCCTGCTTCTAATGCTGCTGATGTCTACTCTATTCCCTGTTAGTCTTGTCCTATCCAATACTTTGGGGAAACTGGCCGTACACTAAATGACACACTTAAGGAACACAAAAGAAGTGTTAAGTCTGCAGACACAAATAATACTCTTCTGTCATGTTAGGGATACTAATCATCCTATTGATTGGTCTTCAAAAATAATCTTTCCTGTCTCTACTCTTCACAGATGTCATCATGTCGAATCAGCTCTGATACACAACATAACCAATATGAACCTTAGTCCTGGCCTTGTTGCTGTTGACTCTTCCCTTTCACAGTACATGCTCAAATGCTCTAATCTTTCTAACAAATGTGACCTGACATTAGCCTGCCCCCTCCCTCTTCTTTTTGTTTTCTTTATTCCTTTATTCTTATTATCCTTTTATTCATATCTTCCTTTTCTTACACCCTATTATTACTCCCATCTGTCTCTCTTCTTGTTCTTGCCTTCCTTTAGGAAATACCTCCTCTTACCTGCTCCTCACCTCTCTCTCTTGCCTTAGTTAATGCCCCCGTGCCTCCCGCACTCCTATCACAATCGACTTGATAATGGTCCAGGACAAACCGAAATGTCGTTGTCTCCTCATTTTCTGGTGTGTGGTTATCATATCTTTAGCCACGTTATTGTGACTCATCGCCAGCACAACTAGAATGTGTGGCATGATTCTTCTTAAGTGCTATGTTTCTAGGGGGGTAGCCCCTAGTGGCTCCTTGAATCTTTCTCGCTAAGATTGTTTCACGCAAATGGGTCACATCAGACACGAGCAGTCTGTCTGGCCTAATGGGGACCAGAGCCATAACCTGGCCCCCCCCCCCCCTCACCAAGGCACAGAACGTGAGTAGCAATTCATCATCAAACCAGAAAGCATCCAGAAAGTCAATGAAGCTTTACAGACAACTGGAGGGTTAACAATGAAGCCTCAACACTGCTAAATAATTCCACAGAAAATTTACACAGAACAAGAGAACATTAAAAATTAATGTGTCACTCTTAGTACTGAATGCTATGGGGAAAACTTACTAGCAGGATTTAATTATTTATTTATTCTTATTTATTTATTTATTTATTTATTAAATGTTTTATATTTAATTTACTATTACAGTACTGTACATTATTAATTTAGAGAGTGAACTGTATGGTTTTAATTTTATCCTACAAGTAGCCTCCTTCACATACTTAAGGGGGTCATTTATGTGCTTTACCAAATCAAAATTAATTGATTGATAAAATCTAATGATTAATCTACGATTACACGAATGGTTAATATAATGTGTTTAGCTAGGCTTAGCTGTATTTGTAGAATGCAGCCTGGTTCATTAATAATGGATGAGTCTAGATGACGTAAGCTCAGTCTCCTCATTGACCATGAGACTTATGGCATCGTCGCGAGTCATGTGATAACCAGTTAGCGTGCTGCCAGTATTTTCTTTTGTCACAATTTCACCTGCCAAACAGTTATATTGTAGAAATGCAACAACAAATATATGGCAGATATGACAATGGAATGGTTATTAGTTTATTAATAGACGCTTACCCATTCCGTGTGGTTTGTTCTGCAACGTAACCTGTTAAGATTAAATAAACATAAATGGTCAAACATTTAATACTTAAATACGGTATAGGTTAACCGGATACCGAAGCACTTCCCAATGGTTTAGCATAGTCGTGGCAATAATTAGCGACTCTGGCGTTGCACCGCAACGTGACTAGTGGGCGGCTTTGTTTATGTGCTCATGCAAGAGTGTTCGTTACTCAGGCCAGTCACGTGAATAATAGCTTCCTCCTTCCTCCCCGCTCAAATGACACGTCACTTGAGCAGTTCTGTTTCTGTCTTCTTGTCGACAACTGGAAGGAGGCCTTTATTTTATTCTTTAATTCCTAGACTGGTGTTTAAAGATTATTTATTAATATTTGCTGGTGAATAATTTGGTGACGTGGCAATATGTCTCATTTTCTGGTAGAGACACCAAAACACCATTTTCTTAGTAGCGTTAACTAATATTTTGTGCTAATTAGGTTTAGTATTTAACATAAAAAAGCATTTGCATATTATATTTGGGGTTAGTAAATGGTGTTGGAACATTCCGACAAATGCCTCTACCAGGTAGCCCGACTTCCACATGCAGCCATCTTCCTTGTTCAGTTCATTCGCTGACGTCCACTTGGACAGTGGTGTTGTGTGTTTTTCAGATACAGCAAACCACTGCTTCAAGCTAAGTGCTGGTCATTCAATATTTTAGTAATTGCTGTACCTAAGTGTAATTACAGGATGAGAGCTACACTTGTGGTGTCCCATCTTGCCAGGACTCTTTATCAAATAATGCTTTGAAACTGCTGGCAGTTTTGGCCTCCACCACCTTCTCATTTAACTTGTTGCAATCATCTACCACTCTGTGAAAGTGAATTTTCTTATAATTCTTCAGCAGCTTTGTTTAGTTAGTTTAAAACTATGACCTCTTGTTCTTGAAGTTCCAGGTCTTGGGAATTAATTCTTTCCTATCAATTTTGCCAATTCCCATTACTATTTTGTATGGAGTGATCATATTGCCTCTTTTTCTTATATCTTCTGGTTTTGGCATATTTAATGCCTCTAACCTCTCCTTGTAGCTCATGTCTTTCAGTTCCGGAAGTTAATTAGTTGCATGTATTTGCACCTTTTCCAGTTTGTTGATGTGCTTCTTATGGTATGGGCACCATACAAGCTCTGCATATTCCATCTTTGGTCTCACTAAGGTCGTGAACAGTTTTAGTATTTCACCATCCATGTGTTTAAAAGCAATTATGAAATTGGAAAGCATAGCATAGGTTCCTCGCACAATGTTCTTTAATGCACAATAAATGAACTAAACTAACTATTGTACTATACTGTGGTCCTCAGGTGATAGTTTTCTATCTAGAACCACCCCTAAATCTCTTTTGTTATCAAAAATTTGTATAGCTTTTTCACATAATTTGTAGGTTGTTTGTGGTATGTTTTCTCCTATTCCACATTCCATAAAACGTCATTTATTCACATTAAATTACAGTACTCTTTGTCGTATAATACTTTGAAGCTACTGATGGTTTTGGCCTCCACCACCACCACCACCTCACTTAGCCTGTTCCAACCATCTACCCCACTGTTTGCAAAGAAAACTTTTAAATAATTTTTTGGCACCTTTGTTTCCTTAGCTTGAATCTATGTCCTCTTGTTCATAAAGTTGCTGGTTTCAGGAATTCCTATTTGTTAATTTGGTCGATTCCTGTTAATATTTTGTAAGTAGTGATCATCTATTTGATACTTGTCCATTTTTCTTTGGTTGATTGGATAGTTTTAATACAAAATTTAGTAGTTCTTATTTAGAGATTAATTATTATCATGATCATTTGGAAAATGCCCTATTGCTGCATCAATTTGCTTTGTCATTGTCGAGGTCCCCCGAGGTCAATGACTGGCCAATTCCAGCGTGCAACCCGCAACACCAGCCTCAATTCCAGGTTACTATTTACTGCTAGGTGATCAGATGCATCAGGTGCAAGGAAACATGCCCAAACATCTCTTCCTACACAGGAATGGGACCCAAAACCATTCAGTTGTGAGCCAGCTGTGTTGAAGTTGAATATACATTTATATTATTCGTTATTTAATATACAGTATTCAAACTTAATTGGAAAGCAAAGAGTATTATGAATGCAAATACTTTTCAGATGGAGTTACCTTGAGCTAGAAACTAATCCTGGATTCCCTGATGCTGTTCAAGCATATGCTGCAGGCTTTGCCGAAGGAGTAGCTACTCATGATTTGATCTACAAATCATACAGGTAAAATGCACTAATATAAATACAGAATAGTAATTTTGTTAAATGACAAAAGTTTTCTTGATCTGTTCATGTATTATATTGTGTGCACATTTTGTAGGCATTGTTCATAAAAGGAAAAACATTTACTGTATGTAGAAAAAAGCATTGGTCGAAGGTCAGTAGACACCCCAAGGTAATAAATAATACTATATATGTGTTGATAAATCAAGTTTTGGAACATTTAGTTACCACTTTATATTCGAAGAGCAAGAAAGATATTCCATAACTCGGTCATCATGTTAATTAGGTGAATAAAATATCTCTGTGGGGAGTCCCGCGTTCTCACAAGCACAAAACAACTCCCCTAGAAAGCAAACAAGGAAGGGAAAGCCAGCCTGGGTAAGCCAGGGCGACCCCAGTCAGTTTTTTGACTAATGTAGTCGTATCGAGTGGTTGTTGTTGCTCTGGCTCCGTGTTCCTGTTTTCTTTGGTGTTTTCACCCTTGCGGTGGTGTTATAAAATGGACGTGCGCGTGTTATCAGGAGTTTCGAGTACTTGAGCAGCATGCGCTGAGGGCCATCTTCCCTAGTGCTCTGTAAGTACTGCCCTTGCGTCTCAGGGTTATTTTCCCTGGGGCATTCAAGGATCACACCCCGTTAGAGAACTTCTTCGCTCTTGGGGTGTGTCAGAGGCCTTGGGGCTTTCTGCCTTGCCCTGAGTAGGGGTGTATTTATTGGCTGGTGGGGCGCACTGCAGCTGACACAGCTTGCTTTTCAGCTGTCGACGGTGAGCCAATGTTTCTCTCTGACTGCTTGTTTGCTGTTGGGAAGTTTTTTGGGTTTTATTTTGCTATTACTTTTCCAGGGTGTTTTTTGGTGGAAGAGTTCAGTTTCCACCTGATAAGGCTTTGACTAGGGTGTGATGGTGGTTCTCCTCTATTGCCCCCTCAGGCTTTTCTCCAGCTGCTTGAGGTCGCATTACCTGCATTGACAGGGTTTACTGGCTTAGCTGGCCCCAATGTCTGGGCTTACTGTAGGGCTTATTCACCCTACAGGCCCTGGAAAACCCCCAGCAGGCTTGGTCGTACAATAGTTCAGGACCCTGACAGCTGAGTGGACAGCGCTTCGGATTCGTAGTCCTGAGGTTCTGAATTCGATCCCTGGTGGAGGCAAAAACAAATGGGCAGAGTTTCTTTCACCCTGATGCCCTGTTACCTAGTAGTAAATAGGTTCCAGAGAGTTAGACAGCTGCTACGGGCTGATTCCTGGGGGTGTATAACAAAAAGGAGGCTTGGTCGCGGACCGGGTCGCAGGGATGCTAAGCCCCGAAATCATCTCAAGATAACTTCAAGAATGGTACCACTTCTGAGTCTGCTCTCGCCTTGGGCGACTTCATAGATTGCTCGTCGTCCCTGCTTCTGGGTGACGATCATCCATTCTGCCTCCGCCTTGCTACTTGTTGGGTCTGCCCTGCCTACAATCCTGCCCAGTGGTAGCAGACAATGATTAAAATTCACTGACAATTTTATCCTTGTGCCACTGCTCTCTGTACATCATTAGAGGGGGGCAGGTTCTGGCTCCTTGTTCCCAGTGGGCCTAAAACTACTCAGAGACTGATGGCACCTAGCAGTTTGGCACTAGATCAGCATTGTAACTTCAGGATGCCACTGGGGATTTTTTGCTTGGGATTGTTGTGTGGGCACTGTTTTTGTGTTCACTGTGTTCCTGGTTCCTTGTCTCAATGTCTGGCTTTCTTGATGGCATTGCTGGGAGAGTTTATCTACTTGCTCTCTGCCTGTTGCTGCTTACCACCTTGTTCACGGTAACTGTTCAGGTTCTTTTCTTCTGGTTGTGCTTTCCTCCGATCATGGTCTACTCTATTGCTATTTTCCTCTTCGTGGGGAAATAGCTTCGGGAGATACATCCTGTAGGGATTCCTTCCAGAAATGCATTACTGAAGGTAATGAAAATGCTGCTTTCTTGTGGGTCTCCTCTGCATCTCCACATTTCCACCCTTTTCTTCTCTCCAGGGTGTTCAGGGAGTCGTCTTGCTTGGGTGGTGCATGAATGACTAGGGTAGCTGTCCTGGGGCTGCCATGGCTGCCAGCTGGTGACAGGGGTGTGAAACTAACTAGAGGTAGGTCCTCTAGTTAAGTTTGTATATAGTTTGAATCAGGAATGCAAATGCTGTCCAAGCAGTTGCTTGTTTTGATGCGCTCTGCTTTCTAGTGGCCTTTTACTTTGTTTATAATCTTTATCTAATATACCCACTTCCTTTTGCCTTTTCAGTACATAGGGGCCAGACTCTGGTTCTGGTCTTCAGTAGGATGTGCTTGTGATCCGATAATGCCTGGTGTGGTACCTAGGTTCCTGGAGGAATCCAGGTGGGTAGATACAGAAGGACACTACCAAAAGGAGTTTGGTGTCTCCACAAATTCACAAGTTTCATTACATTCACCACTGGAGTTTTGGTCATATAGTTTGTTCTGTAAGTGAATATAAATTTTGGAAGGTCATATTATTTTAAGAGATATTTATATTGCACTGACTACCTGCCTTTGGTTATTACAATTAACCATTACCTTTAAACTATTATTTACAGGAATACTTTGGAAGGGATTTGTGAATGGAAATCAGAGGAGTTTTGTGAAAGGTTGCGCACATACCTCACTGAGAATACACAATGGATGAAGTCTATGATAGCTCTGAAGAACAAGAGCTGTCCAGTTTGGCATAATGTAAGTACCTTGTATGGCATTACGAGTCACAATCTGCAATTCTCTCTAGCAAAATGAAACTATGATTGGAGAAATAAAGAAATTAATTTACTCAAGGTATTTCTTCCTTGGGGAAACCAATGCTGGTTCATTTAACAAGTACATATTCTTGTGCCGCTCTCCTTCACGTACTCAGATATTCAATAACTAGAGAATGAAGCATATCCCAGATGTAAATCAATGATTACTATCACTTAGTGTTACTCATGACTTACTTATGAGAACAGAAATTACTTTTCACTCTGTGATAATTGGGCAGTATGAGGTTATGTTGCCTAGATTTGGTCGAGCTGTTTCTTTATATATGTAGATGGAACTTATTTGAAAGACCTATATAAATCACAGCCAATTCATTGCCAATTCATTTTGGGTTTCATTCAAACTGTCAGGCTCATGGTAACCCCTCCCACATAACAAAAAATGGTTTTGCATAAGCCTTGTGGTAACCCATTACCCCCCCTCCCTCCCTCCCTTTGGAAAAACAACCACAGGGGGACTCCAGTCCCTTCCTAGATGAATGACTCGCCACAGGTCTCCCCCTGAGCAAAGTGAAGTAGAATGAAACATTCAGATGATGGCCCTCTGTCTGGATGTCATACCTGTCATCCTCTCAGCTCACTAGAGCAGGAAACAGGTCACCTGCAACTCTTCCCAGTGGGGTACAGGAGCTTCCTCACTCGGTGCTCACAGTATTACAGTGGTACCTCGGAATGAGTGAGTGTCCCTGTATGCGAGTTTTTCGGAATACGAGCAGGATTTCCTCGAAAAATATGTCTCGGAACGCGAGGGTTACCTCGGGACGCGAGTTTGTTGATACGCGTACAGGCCGACCTAGCGCGTGGTGGTTCGGCGATCGTCGCCCCTCCACCCTCCGCCCCTCAGTTTACCATTGTCTCGCGCTCAGTGACTACCCCACATCAATTCTTCTCGCGGATTTTCAGTGTTTTGTTGGATTTTTGGTGATTTGTCTATACAATTTGTTATTATATATCTCACCATGGGTCCCAAGAAAGCCAGTGGTAAGGATAAAGGCCAGAAAGCCCATGTGAGGATGACAATAGAGGAGAAACAAGAGATCATTCGGAAGCATGAGAACGGTACACGTGTTGTTGAACTTTGTAGGCAGTACAACAAAGCCACATCAACAATATGCACTATACTTAAGAAGAAAAATGAGATTATGAGTGCTAAAGTGGCAAAAGGAGTAAGAACAATAACGAAACAAAGACCACAAATACTTGAAGAAGTGGAAAAGTTGTTATTAATTTGGATACACGACAAGGAGTTAAGGGGTGATAGTGTTTCGGAGACCATTATTTGTGAGAAAGCCAGGGTGTTGCACGAAGACCTTCTAAAGAATACCCCTGCAACGAGAGATGCAGATACGAAAGAGTTTAAGGCAAGCAGGGGCTGGTTTGAAAAATTTAGAAGGAGAAGTGGTATCCATAGTGTTACAAGGCATGGGGAGGCAGCCAGCTCAGACAAACCAGCCGCTGGACGATTTATTGACGAATTTAAAGAGTTTGCAGAGGCTGAGGGATACCTACCGCAACAAGTGTTTAATTGTGACGAAACAGGACTGTTTTGGAAAAGAATGCCTAAGAGGACATACATTACCAAGGAGGAAAAATCCTTGCCTGGACACAAGCCTATGAAAGATAGGTTTACGCTTGTGCTGTGTTCAAATGCGAGTGGCGATTTGAAAATTAAACCCTTGCTAGTGTATCATTCTGAAAATCCAAGGGTTTTCAAACAGTATAAAGTGCAGAAAACCCATTTGTGTGTGATGTGGAAGTCTAATAAAAAAGCATGGGTGACTAGGCTTATTTTTTCGGAGTGGGTGAATGAAGTGCTGTGCCCTGCCATAGAAAAATATCTGCAGGAGAAACATTTGCCACTCAAAGCCGTGCTTCTCCTCGACAATGCTCCTGCTCATCCTCCAGGCTTGGAAGATGATTTGTTGCCCAGATACAATAAATTCCTCACAGTTAAATTCCTTCCTCCTAACACCACTCCTCTAATTCAGCCTATGGACCAGAAAATCATAGCGAATTTTAAGAAACTTTATGAAAGGGCACTTTTCCGGAAATGTTTTGAAGTGACTGAAGCCACAAACCTCACCCTCAAAGAGTTCTGGAAACAGCATTTTAACATTTGTAGTGCTTTAAAACTCGTTGACAAAGCCTGGCAAGAAGTGACTCAAAGAACCCTGATCTCTGGCTGGAGAAAATTGTGGCCTGAATGTGTGAGAGAACTAGACTTTGAGGGGTTTGAGCCTATAAATGATGCGCCTATTTGTTGAGGAAATTGTTAGTCTAGGCCAGCAAATGGGCTTGGAATTGGATGGTGATGATGTGGAGGAGTTGGTGGAAGAACACAACGAAGAACTGACCACCAAAGAACTCCTAGCCCTTCAACAGGAACAGCAAGCCAATGCAGCAGCGGATGATTCTGCAGTGGAGGAGGAGGTGGCAGCAGCAGCAGCGAATGTCCCTTCTGCAGTAATTAAGAAGGTGTGTCAGATGTGGGAAGAGATTCAAACAATTGTTGAAAAGACTCACCCAGAGAAAGCTGTAGTAGGCCGTTGTCTTAATCTTTTCAATGACAATGGAATGCCTTACTACAGAGAGAGCTTGCGAAGAAGGGAAAAGCAAGCTTCCATGGACAGATTTGTGGTGAGGAAATCGAGCAGTGAGCCTCAACCAGGACCTAGTGGCACTCAGATAAAACGTCCCAGGGAGAGCACACCAGAAAGGTTCTCACTGCCTGATGTGATAATGGAAGGGGACTCCCCTTCCAAACAGTAACTCCTCTCCTCCTTCCCCCTCCTCACCATCTTCCATACGCCTACAGCATTCAACAGAAGGTAAGTAATAACTGGAACATAGTTTTGTAGGTTTATTTAGATGAATTAGGTATAAAAATTTAGTTTGATGTGGGGTTTTTGGGGTAGTCAGGAACGGATTAATTCATTTCCCTTTATTTCTTATGGGGAAATTAGCTTCGGAATGCGAGTTTTCGGAATACGAGGCGTCTCCAGGAACCAATTAAACTCTTAAACTGAGGTATGCCTGTATTAAGAGAGGGTTTTATAATGATCATGAGAGAGATTATTGTAAAAGCATATAAAGATAAATCATGACTTGAATTTGGTGACTTAAATTTGAAATTGATAGACTGTGAAACCTATGAAGCAAAAACAAAGAACTTTTGGTCTGGCCAATTCATGTACCTCATCTTGGAGTCTTTCTTGTATTATCATGTAAAACAGAATACAATGATGATAAAAAGGGATGCTCTGTTATTGTTGGATTTGGTATTTACCAGGAAAGAGGAGATATTTGACATTCAGCACCTTCCTCCATTGAGCACTAGTGATTATGTTGCTTTGGAAATAAAATTATGTTGGTTATTTTCAAATAAGCGTTATAATTTAGAAGGGATTAGTGAAAGAAAATAGTGGAAAATCTTGATTTCAAAAGAGGATAATATGGGGAACTTAGCAAGTACTTTAACAACTGCACTACTGTCTCCACTCGATCATCCGGACTATATGGGAAGGACCCCCAGCCGGATTATCACATTTTTCGGATAATGGTACTTTTTCACCTATGAGTCCAAAAGTGACCATTTCCAACTATTTTTATACTACAAACAACATAATTTGAATTGCCTTGCCACATACAATTAATAAATATTCAACTAGAAACCTCAACTTACCTTGTTGGTGTTCGTCTTCTTGATTGATGCCACACATCTTGAAGTTAAAAATTCTTAAACAATTTACGTAACCTATACTAACACAACACTAAAATTAACACTTAAAATTACTGTACAGTTCATTAAGCTAAGTTAGTTTTGACTGCCAGCTGCTGAAGCCTCACTGGTTGAGGGCATTTGGGTTGCCTGTGAGGCCTCACTTGTTGAAGGCGCTTGCTTGCACCTCACTTGTTGAAGCGTTGCATGCCCTCACTTGTTGAAGGCGCTTGCTTGCGCCTCACTTGTTGAAGGAGCTTGGCTTGCCTGTGGCGCCTCACTTGTTGAAGGCGCTTGGCTGCCTGTGACGCCTCACTGGTTGAACAACACGTAACTTGTCTTTAATTGCTAGGACAATCTTCTTCCTCTTAACACTTCCAGAACGATTGATGCTGCTACCAGACATATTCTTGGCCAAAAATGTTCAAAATTACTATGAAAATTAAGAAAGTTATTTAAAAAAATATTTCACTAATGGCGCAACACTGTGAGGCCGCACTGGTTGAGGTGTATAACAGTAACTTGTCTTTAATTGTTAGGACAACTTTCTTCCTCTTAACACCTCCAGAATGATTGATGCTGCTACCAGACATAGTCTTGGCCAAAAATGTTCAAAGTTACTATGAAAATAAAAAAGTTATTTAAAAAAATATTTCACTAATGGCGCAGCACTGTGTATAACACGAGGGACGGACGCACATGGGTTGACCAGGTCCACTTGGGGTGGGGCAGCTATAGCACGTTAAGTAGGCCGCCAGGAGGAAAAAAATTCACAATATTTTTTAAGGAAACTTCAGCCTGTGCACAATGCTTTTAGGAAACTTATTTATTTGTTATTACATAATTACTAGTACTTATTTCATTTGTTTTTGGCTATGATTAATTGTTCTAAAATTAATGGTAATTCCTGTACCCAGGTGGTCCCTCCTGACGCACCCCTCCCACCCTCCCAACACCACCCACCCACCCCACCCCCCTCCTCCACCATGCGTCTAGAGCCACAGACGGGATTAATACGGTATGGCCGTATTTTCATCCGGCCAAACTAGCTTTTATCCGGTTCCTGTGGCCATTTTGGCCGGATATTGTGATAACTTTATCCGATAACGATTTTGGCCATATAAGGGCGTTTTCCGGATGTTTGAATCCCGGATAATCGAGGGGTTACAGTACTCTGCATTAAAATATGACACCCCTGTGGTGTGCCAAAAATAAATTCTTTCCAAAAAATTATTTTCTCTTATATTGTTAAAATTCAGTCTCTGATCATGGGAAACTAAAAAAAAAAAAATAATAATGTGTATGACATACTTTAGCGTGATGGAGCTGGGAAGTTGAGCATATTATGGGCGCTAAGCGATGGAGCGCCCGAGGTCACAAGACCCCGCCATCCTGTGGCGCGGCAGTTGCCGCAAATATATTGTTTCACAATTATTTTGATGTTTATCATTCATTTCTTTTCTGTTTTTTTGCTGTAATATTATTCAAAAGTGTATAATTTGTGGAATTTTTATAGTTCAATATGTGAAACATCGCTATGTTCAAAATTAGGGGCTCATATATGTGAAATATATCTTATATTCTACGATAAATCAAAACAGTGTTTTTGCTGTTATTACACTTTATACACAAATTGTATATACCTATCAACATATGTGTTCACCATAACGAACCACTGTTGGTATGGTGAGGCCAAAAAACAAGAATGGGCTGCCACACCAAACTAGCCCTCCCTCACTCCTTCAACACCTAACTCACCAACATTACTCCCACAATACTGTGGTGTTATTACACTATATACACACATTATATATAAGTATCTACATGTTTTATTCACCATAACTGTACAACTAAGCTGGTATGGTGTCCTAACAGCATAGTGGCCACTACATGACGTCACACAGTAGCCAGCAGGCGGCAGCCTCACTCACTCCCTCACCAAAATGGCTCCTCCCAACAAACTCCTTTTGCTGTTATTACACTCTATTCACATGTTATATATAAGTACTGTATCTACATTTGTGTTCACCATAGTGAACCACAAAGCTGGTATGGTGATTCCATACAGTGACATGTTGCCACACACCAGCAAGCAGATGACACTATCTTGACCCTCCTTCCCTTACCAAGATTACTCCTCCCATCACACTACGCACATCACTAGTTCTCACTACAATCCTGCTATTATCAGAATCCTAGTCACTAAATCATTAAGTGAATAATTTTCCATATCTTTATTTTGTAAAGGAACATGAGAAGTCGTTTGAAGAATTTTAAATGGACGAAATATTGGCAGTGTGCTGTGGCTAGCGCTGTGAACATCTTGAACAGCATTTATTCACTGATACCTGAACACTGTACACAGTCTTTATCACAGTCAGTAATACTATCATGGCTAAATAATACTGTAGTACTATCATGGCTAAATAATACCAGATACATACATATTTTAACATTTTTAGGCGATGCTGTAGTCACAAGCTGAACAGTAGTGCTGTTAGCTCATGCTGCATATGTGCCAGCCTTGGCTGCTTACTCAGTACTGAGGCTCTCACACCGGAGAATGTTGCCCACAATTTTTTTTTAAATGGCATCTGTTTTGGAGAGCCCTGAGTTAATACCTTAGCACTACTAAGCACTTCTTAGCTACTTAATACTTAGCACTACATTATTTACTTAAAATTATCTGTACCTGAAAAGTAAAGCTATAAAGTACTTGTAAACATTTTTTGTGAATTTTACTGTGAATTATCTACTTAAAATTATCTGTTAGTTTAAGGACTTGCCCAAAACACAATGTGTGCTAGTGGCTTTACAAGAATGTAAAATCAACTTAATTTCTATGTTCTCTCTTAACCCCCCATGTACCTTCATGTATATAAATAAATAAATAAATAAATAAAAAACTAAGTTAAGGTACATTTGATAATCAGTAATTAATATTACTAATATTAGATCAAATGAAACCATTGATGCAACAGGCTGGTGCATGCAAAAGCTCACCCTGGTGGCGCCAAGAAGAGTCGTCCAGGGGGTGGCAGTTTACCCATAGTAAACTCTATATAAACTATCAATAACATTATACTGTAGGTATTTTTCACAAAAGACATGCAACTAATGGCTTAAGGAATTAATAAACAAGAGCTATGAGAAGAGGCTAGATATGTTAAATATACCAAAGCTAGAACATAGAGGAAAAGAGGTTAAATGTTCACTATATATAAATACAGTAGTAGCAGGAATGGACAAAATTCGCAAAGAAGAATTAAAAAAACTGTAACTTCAAGAACAAGAGGACATATGTTCAGACAAAGGAAACAAAGGTGCTGAAAAACATTTTAAAGTTCACCTTTGCAAACAGAGTGGTAGACAGTTGGAATAAGTTAAGTGAGAAAGTGGTGGAGGCCAAAACTGTCAGTAGTTTCAAAGCGTTACATGACAAACAATACTGGGAAGATGGGATACCATGAGCATTGCCCCCATCCTGTAACTACTCTTTGGTAATTACACTTAGGTAGTTACTATTTGAGGCTTGTTGCCAAAAAGTTTAGTACAGTAGTTAGTGCTTAATTTAAATGTTGTTGTGGTCAGTTTCAACTTGTGCAGATGTTGAAATATTGCAGTTTCATAGTGCTGAGAGTAGCAGCAAGTGGCTATTTATCCTGTCCATGGCTACTGATGCCTCCCCTGTCTCTAGGTGATTGGGTTCAATGTTTGTTTGCTATTTGGGATCTCTCACAGCTAGTTTTTCAACCTGAATATGCATTCATAATTGCACAAAAGATAACTGTGTTTTAGGTGTAGCTATAACTTTTCCATGTTGTCTCTCTCTCCAGAGGTGCAGGGTGCATAACAGGCTTCATATCAGAATCTTTCTGAAACCTCAGTGCATCACATTTGATGTCTGAACGAATATTGACCTGGTGTCTTTTCTTATTATGCTATCTTGAGGTTATCTTGAGATGATTTCGGGGCTTTAGTGTCCCCGCGGCCCGGTCCTGGACCAGGCCTCCACCCCCAGGAAGCAGCCCGTGACAGCTGACTAACACCTAGGTACCTATTTACTGCTAGGTAACAGGGGCATAGGGTGAAAGAAACTCTGCCCATAGTTTCTCGCCGGCGCCTGGGATCGAACCCGATACCACAGGATCACAAGTCCAGCGTGCTGTCCGCTCGGCCGACCGGCTCCCTCGCTCGGCCGACCGGCTCCCGGTCGGCCGGGAGCGAGGCTGTATAAATTGCTGTATAAATTGATGGTTGGGGTTACACTTCATAACCTGACTGCTCTATACTGTCTATCATGTCATAAGACATAATATTACATCACCCCACAGTATTTGCACACCCTTCAATAAGCATATTTCATACCTCATAATTTAAGGATTAATTGAAAGTACATATCATACAGTAATATTTGACCTTAATCTTTTCGGGGGTAAGAATTTTGTCATTAAATTTCAGTTGTGTTACAGGTTGAATTGATCTTGGCACAGTTGAGTGGTCTCTCAGAAGGATACAATAAGACAGCTAAGAACCCCATGGAACCTGACTCCATTTTGTATGTTAATACCTGTAGTGTATATTCTTTCATTGTTCTGCAATATTTTCTGGGAGAACCCCTTATGTATTTTCTGTGAAATCCCTGGTGAGCCCACTAGGGCTCACCCAGACACTGACGTTTCATTACATTCAGCGCTGTTTTTTTTTTAGGTGAATGGTTAGGTAATGGATTAACTGAATTTTGTATTTAATTTGTAGAATTCCTCTTAAAGCTCTGTAATTATTTATTGTTATATTCATTTTGGTGACAAAAACATTATAGTAATTAAATATATATATTTGCATGAATGTAGTTTACAGTGGTTTGATGAGGAAGTGTGGTGCTGAATGTTGTGACAGCTTGGCAACAAATCGAGAGTTACTGTACAATTGTGCTGATGAATGTCAGTGTCATTGGAGATGGTCTGCAGTATATTCGGAGCACTGAACCACTCATGGAGTTAGACTGAAGATCCTGCATGTATAGCTGCCTTATGGCAGCATTATGAATGCCTGCCATTGCACCCACCTTACAGTGTTGATTCTAGTTCAGTGCCTTACTTTGGTCGACAAGAAGCTTGCTTAACATTTTGTGGTGTTATTGCGGATAATTTGAATAACTGCTCATTAGTGGTGTGTATGATTCCTGTAAGCATGGAATTCTTGGGGCCTTGTTATAGGTATCATTAGTGGTTGGTGAATAGGTTAATGGATGACATGTGAGATTATCCACTGTACTGCGCCACATTATAATATAACATTTGTGGTGTGCCAAAAATAAATTATTTGCAAAAAATTCTGTTCTTATATTGTACAAATGTGTTCTCTGATCATGGGAAACTAAATAAAAAAGCTTTGAATGTAATGAAAAGCCAGTTTCTGGTTGAGCCCCAGAGGCTCCCTGAAGCTATTCCATTGATGTAGTGATATATATATGTGTGTGTTTGTGTTTTCTGTAAACTGTAACACAATGTAATACAATTCATTAAATAAAGAAGACTAGGAGTGGTAGAAGAAGAAAATATTAAAGTGTTCAGTTAGAATCCACAAAGTCTTCTCTGAATACTCTTTGTTTTCTTCTTTGAGACTATGGATTCCTACAATTGCACCAGTGGTGGTACCCCTATACAGTATATTAAAACAGGTATATGTTTATTAAATGAAGTTTAGTATATTTAATTACTGTATAATTTCCATCCATCCAGTCCCCTCACCATCCATCCATCCATTCCCCTCACCATCCATCCATTCCACCTCACCATCCATCCATTCCCCCTCACCATCCATCCATCCATTCCCCTCACCATCTATCCATCCCCCTCGCCATCCATCCCCCTCACCATCCATCCTCCTCACCATTTATCCATCCATCCCCCTCACCATCTATCCATCCATCCCCCTCACCATCCATCCATCCAGTCCCCCTGCACCATCCAGCTAGGCCCTCCATGCATCTATCCATTTTATCCATCCATCCAGTCCCCCTCCACTGCTCCCTATCCATCCATTTAGTTCCCCCTCCATCCATCCATCCATCCATCCATCCATCCATCCATCCATCCAGTTACCCCCACCATCCATCTGGTCCCCTCACCATCCATCCAGTCCCCTCACCATTCATCCATCCATCTGAAATTCCCAAGAAGAGAGAGCCCGCCTGACTCAGGTGGATTTTCCTTCCACACCGTAACCCCTCTCCTCCTCCCCACCTCTCCACCTCCCCACCTCTCCTCCTCCCCACCTCTCCTCCTCCCCACCTCTCCACCTCCCCAACATTGCCCCTCAAGCCAGCAATGACTCTTCATAAAGTAAAGTACAATTGAAAACAGTAAAACAAAATATTTATAATAATTACATGTACAGTGGGGCCTCCACTTACGATGGTAATCCATTCCCAGAAACGTATCATAAGTCGAAACAAATTTTCCCATAAGAAATAATGAGAATTGAATTAATCTGTTCCACACTCCCAAAAAAGTTAACTTCAAAGTAAATTTTATACCTAATTCACCCAAATCTTTAGTACTAAAGTATATACAAGTTATTGCTTACCTTTATTGATGATTCTTGTTGGCGTATGGAAGACTGAGGAGGAGGAGAGGTGTTAGTGTTTGGAAGGAGAGTCCCCTTCCATTATAACATCAGGAAGTGATTGTGTTTCTTTTCTGTGGGGAGCCTCTACGGCTCCCTGGAGTTTATCGGGCTAATGTATGTTATATTAGACCGGGACATTAGCTAAGGAATTCAGATCTACCAGGGACCAGCACCAGAACCTGGCCCCTTCAGAGAGGTTTTAGGGAGGAATGACCCCTGGAAAACCCCCTTGTGGTTGGGGTTTTCCTTATCTGCCATCGACCGGGATTAGGCACCCAGAAAGGTAGGCATAACAAAACAAACCCCACATGGTAAAAAACTAAAACAAAATATCGAACAGAAAGGTAGAAACTCCCTACAATCCCAAGGAAACAAGCAAAGAAGCAAGCATCACACTTTACTGCCGCGCCGATCGTGCGCACAGCCCTCCCCGCCCCGACAGGGGGAGGGGGGAGCCCCGGATCTACCGCGCTGGCTGCCTAGCTTCAATTCATAAGCTAATGTCAACCGGGATAGACGCTTCTCTGGCCTCAGTTTCCTAGGTGGTGTTTGCCTTGTGTGGCGTTCACTGCCGTGTGTTGTGTTGTGCGGTAGCCAGGAGTACCTCATCAGTGCCGGGGCTGCATCCGCTTAGGGGCTTCCTTCCCTAAGTGCCCTGTGAGTACTGCCCCTGCGTGACAGGGTTATCTTCCCTGGGGTGTTCGGGAACCATTCCCGTAGAGGTTCTTGCTGCTCGGCATTTGCCTCGCCCTTGGGGCCCTTGTTTGGCTCTGGGTAGGGACTGGTATTGTGCTGGTTAGGGCGTCAAGGTGTTGCGCGACCTGCCACCTAAACGGCGACCGGTTCCTGTTGCCTCTGGAGACGGTATACAGTACTTTTGCGGGGTTTTTCTTTTGTTTTTAATTTCATTTGTCTGGTGGGGGTCTGCCTAGTGTGGCTATAGTTCCACTGGTAGTGTTTGGTGGCCCTCTGCTAGGCCTCCGTGATTGTACATGTCGCAGGGGTTTTCAGTGCTATCCTCTACCCTCTTGTTATTTTTGGGTTTCTTAACCGGTTAGCAACGCCTTGCCCGGGCTTCCCGTACCAGTCAGCCTACGGGCCCTGGAAACCCCTGTCGGGGCTCGGTGGACTATTGAATGTGTCTTTCGGGTTCTAACCCAACTTGTACGGGATCGTTGGTTGCTGTGCCCTTGTCTCTGGGTGACAGTCGCCACTTTTACCTCCGTCAGTTGCCTGTTGGGTCACTGACACCTTGACCCGGAGTCTTGCGAGAGAGATTCTCTGCTTGTTCTCCAGTACTCTCCTGATGTTATTCCTGTTAATAATAATTGAGTCGCAACATGGTTTTATAAATGGCCGTTCATGTTTAACAAATTTGTTATCTTTTTATTCTAGCATTGTTGAGGCAGTTGATAGTGGTAAGGATTGCGATGTTGTATACCTTGACTTTAGCAAAGCTTTTGATACAGTGCCACATGAAAGGCTGATTAAAAAAATAGAGTCTCATGGTATTGGGGGTGCTATATTAAGCTGGATTAGGGCATGGCTATACCAAAGGAAACAGAGAGTTAGTATAAATGGAATCAAGTCAGAGTGGGAAAATGTTGTAAGTGGAGTGCCTCAAGGCTCTGTCCTGGGACCTCTGTTGTTTATAATATATATAAATGATTTAGATTCAGGTTTGAGTAGCAACATTTGCAAATTTGCTGATGATACGAAAATCGGTAGGGAAATTAATTCGGAGGAGGACTCACTATCACTTCAAGTTGATCTAGATAGGGTTTTGAAATGGTCAAAGGAATGGCAGATGCAGTTTAATGCTGATAAATGTAAAGTTCTGAGGTTAGGTAATGATGATAGAGTTACAAGATACGAGCTAGATGGTGTTGTGATTGCGAAGTCGGATTGCGAAAGGGATCTGGGAGTTATGATTAGTAAGAATTTAAAACAAAAGGATCAATGCATAAATGTTCGTAATAAGGCAAATCGGACACTTGGATTTATTAATCGCAGCGTTAGTAACAAGACACCTGGTGTGGTTCTCAAGCTATATCTTGCTCTAGTTAGGCCCCATTTAGATTATGCAGTTCAGTTTTGGTCGCCATATTATAGAATGGATATAAATTCACTTGAACGTGTCCAGCGTAGGATGACTAAGTTAATTCCCCAAATTAGAAATCTTTCATATGAAGAAAGATTAACAAAGCTTAAGTTGCATTCACTGGAAAGGCGAAGAGTTAGGGGTGACATGATAGAGGTTTACAAGTGGATGAATGGACATAACCGGGGGGATATTAATAGGGTATTAAAAGTATCAACACAGGACAGAACACGAAACAATGGATATAAATTGGATAAGTTTAGATTTAGGAAAGACTTGGGTAAATACTGGTTCAGTAACAGGGTTGTTGATTTGTGGAACCAATTGCCGCGTAACATTGTGGAGGTGGGGTCCCTCGATTGTTTCAAGCACGGGTTGGACAAGTATATGAGTGGGATTGGGTGGTTATAGAATAGGAGCTGCCTCGTATGGGCCAATAGGCCTTCTGCAGTTACCTTTGTTCTTATGTTATGTTCTGTTCAGAGTACAGGCGGCATCCGTGTTGCAAGCTAGGTTAGGTTGCTGCAACACGCTAGGTTGGTTTCCCCACTCGGATGCCCCGAGGTGGCCCTGTTTTGGTTAGGTGCTGTTCGCCCCTTTCCCTCCCTGTTCCCGACTCCGAACCGTCTGCGGGTTTCGGGGTCGGGGCGGGGTTTAGTTGGGGCCGAGACTCGGGCAGTTTTCGGGGGCTGCCCCGTTCGGGTTGGGGACAGAGGGTTTCGAACCTGTTCCACCTGCTAAGGCTTCTGGGTCTTACCAGTGGCCCTTTCTTGCTGCCTTTCCCATGGACTCTTCCTTTTCTTTAAGGGTGGAGGGCTTGGAGGACGGCTCTGCCCCGGGGCTGTGGGGGATGCCTGCTAGCAGTTCTGGGGCGGTTTGCCCCATCCAGTCTGCTTACTTCCCACTTTTGCTGGCGTGTTTTTGTATCTTTTGCGTCGGTGACAGCCCTCTGTTCTGGTGGCCATTTTTTTCTGCGGGTTTCCTGGCGTGGCCACCAGGGTGGCGTTGCGGTTTGTTTACATGCGCCTGGGTGTGCGAGCGAGCATCTTGGGTGAGTTTTTTCACCTTTTTTCAGGGGTTTTATTCTCCAGTTGTCGTTTCTTTGATTTTCTGGTGTTTTCTGCCCGTTTCCTGTTCCTCTGGGAACGTGAGTGTTGATTTTGCACCGGGTTTTCCATTTTGTCTGTTTTGGGTCTGGGCCCTTGGTTTGGGCTCAGTGTCCCTGGCTGTTATGCTTGCTCCCACACCTTGTCACTCGGTTTTCGGTCTGTTTTGACCGTTTCCCTGAGGGTTCTGTCTGGGGGCTGTGCTTTGCCTTTCTGTGGTGTATCTCCGCCGGCAAATGTGGTGGTTTGGGCTCCCCCCTGGTTCGATTCCAGGTTCCTTTGGGTTCTTTGGTTTCGTTCTGGAGGTTTCTTCCTCTTGGGCCCCCTTTGTGGGTTCAAGGGGCTTTGTTTCCTCGTGTGTGACCCGGTTCTGCCTTCTGGAGTTTTGGGGTCTTCCTGGCTTGCAGACTGATCTTTTTTGGTCTTGGCACGTGTTGTGGTCGTGTGGGATTTTGAGGTTTTGTTGTAGAGGTGGGCCTTTTGATGCAGTTTTGTGCCTTCTTCGCCTGGCCGGCGTGGTGCTCTCTGCCCACTGGTCGGCGGCTTGTAATTTTTTTTTCACGTGTATGTGTGTGTAATTACCTAAGTGTAGTTACAGAATGAGAGCTACGCTCGTGGTGTCCCGTCTTCTCAGCACACTTTGTCATATAACGCTTTGAAACTACTGACGGTCTTGGCCTCCACCACCTTCTCGCCTAACTTGTTTCAACCGTCTACCACTCTGTTTGCGAAAGTGAATTTTCTTATATTTCATCTGTGTTTATTCATCTGTGTTTAGCTAGTTTAAATCTATGACCTCTTGTTTTTAAAGTTCCAGGTCTCAGGAAATCTTCCCTATCGATTTTATCAATTCCTGTTACTATTTTGTATGTAGTAATCATATCACCCCTTTTTTCTTCTGTCTTCTAGTTTTGGCATATTTAATGCCTCTAACCTCTCCTCGTAGCTCTTGCCCTTCAGTTCTGGGAGCCACTTAGTAGCGTGTCTTTGCACCTTTTCCAGTTTGTTGATATGCTTCTTAATGACAATGTGATGTCTCACTACAGACAAGTGTTAAAAGGTAGGGAAAACAAGTATCAATAGACAGGTTTTAGCGAGACACAAGCAGTGAGCCACAACAAGGTCCTACTGGTGTGCCTGCAAGACGTAGGAGAGAGAGAGAGAGAATACCCCAGAAAAGTCCTCACTGCCTGATGTTATAATGGAAGGGGACTCTCCTTCCCAACACGAACACCTCTCCTCCCCCACTTCCTCACCTTCCATATGCCAACAATAAAGTCCTCAGTCCTCAATAAAGATAAGATATATATTCTGTATTGTAGTACAAAAAGAGTGGTACTGTATTCAGTATGAAATGTATTTTTAAGTTAATATTTTTGGGGGTATGGAACGGATTAATTCAATTTACATTATTTCTTATTTAAAAATTCATTTTGGTTTACGAATTTTTGGTGTACGACGCGTTTCTGGGAATGGATCGTAAACGAAGGTACCACTGTACAGTGCAATATTTGATTCCTAAATCATCAAATCATCAAAAATAGAGCTCTTATTTTTGTTAAATTTTCTTTATTGCATCATTAATTTTTCTGTTCCTTTTCTCAGCAGATTTGTGATGCAGTCCAGTATTTAAAGAAGAATACTTATGTTTAATTTCAGATGGTTAAATTTAATGGGTGATCTAGAGGATCTTGAAGAAGCCCTTAATTCCAGCATTCATAATATGAGCATAGAAGAATGGGTCAAGAGTGGTCTCGCTACTGGTGATGGCCACTGTTCGGCACTCATTAAGCTCCTTCCAGGCAACACTGATCTCTATGTTTCACATGTTACATGGAACACGTAAGTTAATTTTTTTTTTATTGTCTATGTTATCTTTATTATGATTGTTTAACCCTTAAACTGCAAAACACATCAATAGCTGTGGTAACTGTCATGGAATTGCGCAGCACAGCTATTGAATGTTGGAGTAACACGCAAGATTTAACAGTCCTGCGGCTACACGGGGTTCACATCAGCTTCCTTAGGGCCCTTGTGCAAATTCCTCCTCTAGCGACGCCATTAAAAAAATTGTGGGCAACATTCCCAGGTGTGAGAGCCTCAGTACTGACTGAGCAACCACTGTCGCACGCAGCATGAGCTAACAGCATTGCTGTTCAGCTTGTGACCACAGCATCGCCTAAAAATGTCAAAAATATATATAACTGCAATTATTTAGCGATGATAGTATTACAGAAGACCCATGACTGATAAAAAGGACCAGGGTTCTGATAATTGCAGGATTATTGTGATAATTAGCACTGTGCTGTATCGTGGGAGGAGTAATGCGAGATAGAGAAGGAGGGAGATAGCATCGTCTGCTGACTCTGTGTGGCCACCAGTTATTGTCTGCATTCACCATACCAGCTCAGTGGTTCTCTATGGTGAACACAAATGTAGATACTTATATACTGTATAACGTGTGTATTAGTGTAATAACAGCAAAAGGAGTATGTTGGGAGGAGCCATTTGGGTGACGGAGGTTGCAACGTCTGCATGACTTGTCATGCTGTGTAGAGGGTGGCCACTATGCTTTTTGGGCATCCTACAAGCTTAGTTGTACAGTTATGGTGAATAAAACACGTAGATACTTATATATAATATGACTATATAGTGTAATAACACCATAAACAGTATTGTTGGGGGAGAAATGTTAATGCATCTGGATTTAAACCAGTGAGAGAGCCAGCTGCCAGCTGACTGTGTGTGTGGCCTCTTATTGCCTGAACTCACCATACTAGCTTAGTTGTACAGTTATGGTGAGTAAAACATGTAGATACTTACATATAATGCCTGTATATAGTGAATATAAGCAAAAACAGTATGGTAGGAGAAGAATGTTGGCTAGTGAGGTGATGTTGAGGGAGGGAGTGGCGGCGAGTGGCTGGTGTGGCGACCACTCCTTGTTGCTTTTTGACTCACCATACCAACTCAGTGGTTCGTTATGGTGAACAAAACATGCAGATACTGTTCTTATACAGTGGAACCTCGAGTGACAAGCGGCTCCAGTTACGCGCATTTCAAGTAACGAGCAGGCCACTCGCAGAAAATATGTCTCAACTGTTGAGCTTTCCCTCGATTAACGAGCATTCCAGCTGGTTCTCGGACACCTCCGACGACAGTTTTGCTGTTGTTTCACAAGACGAGTTTTCCACATGACGAGCTCAGTGCCGGAACAGATTAAACTTGTTAATCGAGGCGCCACTGTATATAACCCGTGTATATAGTGTAATAACAGCAAAACTATTTGTTTATTGTTTTTTAACATAATAATTAAATCACTAATATGCACACCGTAATTTTCAGTATAACAATTGTTCACACATTTTATTATATAAATATATCACACTACACACTATTGACTAATATTACTGCAAAAAAATAAGAAAACAAAATCGGAGACATTGAAATAATTAAGTAATAATATCTTCATGGCAACTCCCGCCTGACAGCTTGGGTGGAGCAGACCTCCAATGCTTGTTCTGTCAACGCCTCTTTTCTGGGGGGAGCCCCGTCGGCTCCTCGGAGCTCTCCAGGCTGATATGAATCTATTAGCTTTCTGGCATCAGTCAAAGTGCATGGAATTCTTACCTATCTGGGACCACGAACCAGAACCTGGCCCCCTCAGGAAGGTAAGAGGAGCAATGGCCTATAGAAACCCCCGTGTGGTTGGGAGCATTCTATGTTTACCATCGACTGGGTCTGGCACCCAGAAAGGTAAGCACCCCAAAACAAACCCCTATTCTCGTAAAAATATTGCTACCGAAAGCTGAACGAGTGGACAGAACTCCCCCAAATGAAAATCAGCAAACGAGCATGACGTCACCATGTTGCCGCCCCGTTGCCTGCGCAACCTTCCTTCCCTCCCTGGGAAGAGGAAGGGGGGAGTCCCAGACCCCTTGCGCTGGCATTCTAACTGGCAGTTCTTGACTGATGTGATACTGGCAGGTGATGGCCTCTGGTTTATGCTTTGATTTCAGTTACTGTGACTTGTGGCGTGGTCTGTCTCTACAGGTGGTGTGTGAGCCAGGAGTAATATTCTACAGTACTCGGCCTGCATGCGCCTAGGGTTTCCTTCCCTAGGTGCCCTGTAAGTACTGCCCTTGGTACTTAGGGCCCCCTTCCACAAGTCACCTTGGGGCCTACCTCCACTGTGTCTTTTACTGCTCGGTACTTGGCCGCCCTTGGAGTCGGATGGGGTTTTTGTTGCCCTTGTTTACCTCTGGGTAGAAGGTAGTTTTCATCCCTGGTAGGGGCATAGGGTTCTGCACAGCTAGTTACCACCTGTTCTAGCAACTGGCTCTGTTCCACCTGGGTACGTTGTCCTTTTGCGGGGTTTTTTCTTTTGTTTTTGTTTTCCTACCTGGTGGGTGGGGTCTGCCTTTGGTTGGTTGCCCCCCTATCTACATTGGGGGGTCTTTCTGTATACATCTCTGTGTTCTTTGTGGTACTCCCTGCTAGGCCTCCGTGAGTGGACACATCCTGGGGATTCAGCTTTTAGAAATTTGCTCTGTAGTTTTGGGTACCGGTTCTCAATACCCTGCCTGGGCTTTCCTTAGCTTGTTAACAAGGGTAAGGTCCCTGAGACACCCCGTGGGGGCTCTATGATCTGATGGATGTGACCCTTGAGTTGTCTCTCACTTCGTGCGAGGTTGAAGGTTGCTCTGTCCCCTTGTCTCAGGGTGACAATCACCGGTTGTGCCTCCGCCAATCTGCTTGTTGGGTCGGTGATTCTTTTGACCCAGAGTCATGTGATGTTTGTTCTTTGTATGTGCTCCAGTTCACCCAAGCTACTGAACGTGATATCAGGGTGCAGGCAGCAGAGGCGTTGCATGCTCGGTTTAGGTTGCTGCAACGTGATAGGTTCGTTGCTTCCCGGATGCCCCGAGACTGGTTTATTTTGGTTATAGGGACCCTGTCTTGGGGATGAGTCACTGCAACTTTGGTTCCGTCTGCCCCTCCTTGTCCTTGCCCTTTGGTGGTTCATCCGGTAGACCTCCCCCCCACCTTGGTTTCCAGCTTCGAAACGTCTGAGGGTTTCGAAGTCGGGGCAGAGTTTAGTTGGTGTTGAGACTCGGGGGAGTACCCTTCTGGGGTGGCGGCGGAGGCATTCGAGCCTAGTCCTGCAGCCGGAGCTTTTGGGTCTGACCAGTGGGCCCTTCATTCCTGCTTTTTCGGCTACTCCTGCCTTTTCTTTAGAAGTGGGGGTTTGGAGGACAACTTGGCCCCGGATCCTTGGGGTGAAGTTCCTGGGGCTGGGGAGGGGTTGACTTTGGGGGCCTTGGGCTCCATTGGACCCCGCATGGGATTTTGTACCCTCAGAGTGGGGTTTGGTGCTTGAGAAAGTGATTGGCTAAGCTGGCTAAGCTCAGGTCTGTAGAGTATATTAAGGAAAACTTCCCATGTTTCTCTAATATGCATCAAATACATATTAAGTTGATATATGATAGAAACATTTCGATGTCTTTCATCAGATAATTTTCATGTTGAATTTGGAGAGAAAATTTAAAATATATAAAATATCAGTGTGCAAGTTTTGTTTTATAGTACAGTACCGTGCATGTCCATTTCTTGGAAGACTTCCTCAGTAACTCTGTGGTTTTACCTGAATTTACCTGAGATGCCATGTATCTACTGGTCTCAATAAGGAAAGGAAGCCAGCAACTTGTCAAAGATCCCCTCATTTGTTCTGATGATTTTATTGAACTGGATTTTGAAATTCAGCAGCATTAAATGTAGTGAAAAACCAATTTCTGGGTTAACCCCAGATGCTCTCTCCCACCCTCCCTTTCTCAGGGCATTGGTGTGTATCATCATCATAGAACTGAAGTTGGGGCAGGCCAGCTGGCCCTGTATGCCTCCCCCCTCCCACCAAACGATGGGGGAGGTGGGACAAACTAGCGTACTCTTCTCTCACAAAATTTTGGTGGTTTGTTTTCATTGTTTGGGGGAGTTCTTTTGGTTCTTTCCTGCAGTCTCATTTTAAACCATGTTTTGTCCATTTTGTTTCGATTAGGTTCGCCTACCTGTCTGGGTGCCTTTCCCTAGTTAATGGCAGTTATGATTAATTTTAAATGTAAAGTGTTCATAGGCCATCGCTCCCTGCGCCTCTCTGAGGGGACCAGGTTCTGGTTCGTGGTCCCTGGTAGGTGAATAGAACTCCATGACTGATGGCACCTTATAGTATGGCACTTAATCAGTGTTTGTTAGTTTCAGGGAGCCTCTGGAGCTCAACCAGAAATGGGTGTTTCATTACATTCAATGTTGGTTTTTTACAGGTATCAGTCCATGTTGAGAGTTCTGAAAAAATACATTTTCCCATTCCGCCGAACTGGATCATCAGGACCACAAGATGTAAATCCTGGCCACACGGTTACATTTCCATCATATCCTGGTTTGCTGTTTTCAGGAGATGACTTTTATATACTCTCATCTGGCCTTGTCACCTTAGAGACTACTATTGGCAACAATAACCCAGCACTATGGAAGAATATTACAGCAACTGGAGAGGTATGTCCCGAGACTGTACATGCAGCCTATTATATTCTTTTCCTGTTGAAACCACTTCCATCCATAGCTACAAGAGCAATTATGACAATGTCAAGAAGTTAAAATGCATCAACTATAACTAGCTGACAAGTCAGCACAGCAGTGATGGTGTTTTGAGAACATATGATTCATTATGGAACATAATTCAGTATTTTCATAAGCTGTTGATACATTATAGTAGAATTTATTTGTTAAAATGTAGCTACATAGGTATTAAGGTTACTTGTATAAATAAAAGTACAATTGTCAAGTTCATAACACATGCAGTGTTTTCTACAAGACTGAAGCTCAAATTCTTCTTCTTCACAAAACAGTGGAACCTCGGTTGACGACGTCAAATTCGTTGTAAAATTTTAATTGGTACATGACAGTTTACTTGGAAGACGACGTCTGTTTGTACGAGTATGGGGTTGAACGAGCGTGTGGTGCTGGGGGAGAGGCACTCTCAGTTTGTTTACAAGTCTATCGCGTGTAGTGACGACTGTGGCCACGCTTGAATGCTTTGTTAAGAATTTCATTGTTTGCCTGCTTTTTTTTTTTTTTTAAATAAAAGTTCTTATTATATATCTTGCTATTGAAAGATATAGAAGAAAAGTCAGTGGTAAAGTTCAACCTAAGAAAATAGTTGTGAGAAAGACGATAGAGTAAAAACAAAGATGTCTCACTACAGAAGTGTTAAAACATAGGGAAAAACAAATGTCTTTAGATTCTCTGGCACCAGAGAAGTCTTAACAAACAACACAGAAATCATCGATAGATACAGCGATAGCAGGCGGCTTGACATCTGCGAGGCACTACACATCAAAAAGTCAACACCAGCAATCAACAGTCAATTAATGCACAACTATATTCTACCCACTTCAAGACTCCGTACCAATATTGAAGCATCAAGAGGAAGTATAGGCCAATAGGCCCTTTGCAGTTACTTCCATTCTTCCCTTTCACTTATCCAATTTACACCCATTGAACCGTGTTCTGTCTTGTGTTGTCAAAAGTTTGTTCACCTCATCCAAAACTGATTCAACATATCACCTCACCCAATTGCGAGTATATAAGACAAGCTGTTTAGCATTAGAATTAGTAAAACTCTGTTAAGTGTTTTCAGGTTACAGTTGTGTGTGTGTAAACTAAAGTCTTTGAAAATGTAATACGTTATTACGAAACGCATTCAAGTGTCGCATCAGACTAGAAATAAAAATGAATTTTGGAGAATTGATTTTTCAATTACCATCGACAGTAAAAAGAAACATAAGAAATATTGAGAAAATTCGTGTTAGAATTATTAATCTTACTTTTTCGGTCATATTTAATAACATATGTTTACAAGAAATACTGCTACCAAAATATGCTAATATATATATATATATATATATATATATATATATATATATATATATATATATATATATATATATATATATATATATATTTATATATATTATATATTATATAATAAATATTTATATTATATACTGTATATGTATATATATATATATATATGCGAACAAGCCTGAATGGTCCCCAGGACTATATGCGAATGAAAACTCACACCCCAGAAGTGACTCGAACCCATACTCCCAGAAGCAACGCAACTGGTAACTACAGGGCGCCTTAATCCGCTTGACCATCACGGCCGTCAAAAGGAAGTGATAGCCGAGGCTATTTGAGCCACTTCCCCGACGGCAACTCGGATGGTAATCTTGGGCATAGCATTTCACCAAATCACCTCATTCTTTGGGGCACATGTGAGGAACACAAATGCGAACAAGCCTGAATGGTCCCCAGGACTATATGCGAATGAAAACTCACACCCCAGAAGTGACTCGAACCCATACTCCCAGAAGCAACGCAACTGGTAACTACAGGGCGCCTTAATCCGCTTGACCATCACGGCCGTCAAAAGGAAGTGATAGCCGAGGCTATTTGAGCCACTTCCCCGACGGCAACTCGGATGGTAATCTTGGGCATAGCATTTCACCAAATCACCTCATTCTTTGGGGCACACGTGAGGAACACAAATGCGAACAAGCCTGAATGGTCCCCAGGACTATATGCGAATGAAAACTCACACCCCAGAAGTGACTCGAACCCATACTCCCAGAAGCAACGCAACTGGTAACTACAGGGCGCCTTAATCCGCTTGACCATCACGGCCGTCAAAAGGAAGTGATAGCCGAGGCTATTTGAGCCACTTCCCCGACGGCAACTCGGATGGTAATCTTGGGCATAGCATTTCACCAAATCACCTCATTCTTTGGGGCACACGTGAGGAACACAAATGCGAACAAGCCTGAATGGTCCCCAGGACTATATGCGAATGAAAACTCACACCCCAGAAGTGACTCGAACCCATACTCCCAGAAGCAACGCAACTGGTAACTACAGGGCGCCTTAATCCGCTTGACCATCACGGCCGTCAAAAGGAAGTGATAGCCGAGGCTATTTGAGCCACTTCCCCGACGGCAACTCGGATGGTAATCTTGGGCATAGCATTTCACCAAATCACCTCATTCTTTGGGGCACACGTGAGGAACACAAATGCGAACAAGCCTGAATGGTCCCCAGGACTATATGCGAATGAAAACTCACACCCCAGAAGTGACTCGAACCCATACTCCCAGAAGCAACGCAACTGGTAACTACAGGGCGCCTTAATCCGCTTGACCATCACGGCCGTCAAAAGGAAGTGATAGCCGAGGCTATTTGAGCCACTTCCCCGACGGCAACTCGGATGGTAATCTTGGGCATAGCATTTCACCAAATCACCTCATTCTTTGGGGCACACGTGAGGAACACAAATGCGAACAAGCCTGAATGGTCCCCAGGACTATATGCGAATGAAAACTCACACCCCAGAAGTGACTCGAACCCATACTCCCAGAAGCAACGCAACTGGTAACTACAGGGCGCCTTAATCCGCTTGACCATCACGGCCGTCAAAAGGAAGTGATAGCCGAGGCTATTTGAGCCACTTCCCCGACGGCAACTCGGATGGTAATCTTGGGCATAGCATTTCACCAAATCACCTCATTCTTTGGGGCACACGTGAGGAACACAAATGCGAACAAGCCTGAATGGTCCCCAGGACTATATGCGAATGAAAACTCACACCCCAGAAGTGACTCGAACCCATACTCCCAGAAGCAACGCAACTGGTAACTACAGGGCGCCTTAATCCGCTTGACCATCACGGCCGTCAAAAGGAAGTGATAGCCGAGGCTATTTGAGCCACTTCCCCGACGGCAACTCGGATGGTAATCTTGGGCATAGCATTTCACCAAATCACCTCATTCATGCTAATATATATATATATATATATATATATATATATATATATATATATATATATATATATATATATATATATATATATATGGGGACCATTCAGGCTTGTTCGCATTTGTGTTCCTCACGTGTGCCCCAAAGAATGAGGTGATTTGGTGAAATGCTATGCCCAAGATTACCATCCGAGTTGCCGTCGGGGAAGTGGCTCAAATAGCCTCGGCTATCACTTCCTTTTGACGGCCGTGATGGTCAAGCGGATTAAGGCGCCCTGTAGTTACCAGTTGCGTTGCTTCTGGGAGTATGGGTTCGAGTCACTTCTGGGGTGTGAGTTTTCATTCGCATATAGTCCTGGGGACCATTCAGGCTTGTTCGCATTTGTGTTCCTCACGTGTGCCCCAAAGAATGAGGTGATTTGGTGAAATGCTATGCCCAAGATTACCATCCGAGTTGCCGTCGGGGAAGTGGCTCAAATAGCCTCGGCTATCACTTCCTTTTGACGGCCGTGATGGTCAAGCGGATTAAGGCGCCCTGTAGTTACCAGTTGCGTTGCTTCTGGGAGTATGGGTTCGAGTCACTTCTGGGGTGTGAGTTTTCATTCGCATATAGTCCTGGGGACCATTCAGGCTTGTTCGCATTTGTGTTCCTCACGTGTGCCCCAAAGAATGAGGTGATTTGGTGAAATGCTATGCCCAAGATTACCATCCGAGTTGCCGTCGGGGAAGTGGCTCAAATAGCCTCGGCTATCACTTCCTTTTGACGGCCGTGATGGTCAAGCGGATTAAGGCGCCCTGTAGTTACCAGTTGCGTTGCTTCTGGGAGTATGGGTTCGAGTCACTTCTGGGGTGTGAGTTTTCATTCGCATATAGTCCTGGGGACCATTCAGGCTTGTTCGCATTTGTGTTCCTCACGTGTGCCCCAAAGAATGAGGTGATTTGGTGAAATGCTATGCCCAAGATTACCATCCGAGTTGCCGTCGGGGAAGTGGCTCAAATAGCCTCGGCTATCACTTCCTTTTGACGGCCGTGATGGTCAAGCGGATTAAGGCGCCCTGTAGTTACCAGTTGCGTTGCTTCTGGGAGTATGGGTTCGAGTCACTTCTGGGGTGTGAGTTTTCATTCGCATATAGTCCTGGGGACCATTCAGGCTTGTTCGCATTTGTGTTCCTCACGTGTGCCCCAAAGAATGAGGTGATTTGGTGAAATGCTATGCCCAAGATTACCATCCGAGTTGCCGTCGGGGAAGTGGCTCAAATAGCCTCGGCTATCACTTCCTTTTGACGGCCGTGATGGTCAAGCGGATTAAGGCGCCCTGTAGTTACCAGTTGCGTTGCTTCTGGGAGTATGGGTTCGAGTCACTTCTGGGGTGTGAGTTTTCATTCGCATATAGTCCTGGGGACCATTCAGGCTTGTTCGCATTTGTGTTCCTCACGTGTGCCCCAAAGAATGAGGTGATTTGGTGAAATGCTATGCCCAAGATTACCATCCGAGTTGCCGTCGGGGAAGTGGCTCAAATAGCCTCGGCTATCACTTCCTTTTGACGGCCGTGATGGTCAAGCGGATTAAGGCGCCCTGTAGTTACCAGTTGCGTTGCTTCTGGGAGTATGGGTTCGAGTCACTTCTGGGGTGTGAGTTTTCATTCGCATATAGTCCTGGGGACCATTCAGGCTTGTTCGCATT